AAACTAGTTTCAACTAGACAAAACGGGTTTTAACAAAGACATTCAGTATAAACTAGTTTCAACTAGACAAAACGGGTTTTAACAAAGACATTTAGTATAAACTAGTTTCAACTAGTTAAAACGCGTTCTAACTAAAAACAGGTTTTGACTGTAACATATATACAGTAGAGCATCGATTATCTGAATATTGATCAACCAAAACATCAATTAACCGAAAGCTTTTTAGTTTGCAAATTATAATTTCTGCTAGTACTGTGGCACTACAATCTTTGGTTATGTCTTGGACTACTTCAATATTATTTTTGTTGGTGTGTGTTTTAGCTGGCAGCACTGGTGCAACCATGAAAGGGTATTTAAGGATGTGCCAGGATTTGAACAAATTTAAACACAGGATAGGTTAATATATTTTTTTCGTACATAATTGGTTATACGAAAAATCGATTTTCTGAACAACTCCAGTAGTCCCCAATTGATTCGGATAATCGATGCTCTACTGTATATAATATACACTGCTGGACAAGTAAAATGCAACACCTACAATATCTAGAGTCCTACATGGTGTTGCATTTTACTTTGCCAGCAGAAATTTCAAAATAACAGTAACAACTTTGAATAAATGAGATATATACATATATCTTATTTATTATAAAATTATAATTTATATTTCAATTTATTCATTATTCCTCAAATTAAATATACAAATTTTATAATTTATTTAAAATTTGATTTATTAATTTCATCTCTTCCTAGACTGCATATCGTAACAAGGATATACTCAAAAACCTTATAAATTGATAATAAATTTGGCTGCAGTTTAAAAGGTTTTTGAATAGTATATTCTTTATTAATTTCAATAAAAAATTCTATCAACAAAATTTGCAAAAGTATGTTATGGTTTTAGAAAGAATTATACATTTGACTAAATATTTTTGAGTTAATTGTTAGATTTACTTAAAACTTTTATAATTTTAGTCTATGTATATAATATTTTCACACGATTATTCATTTTTGATGAAAATTCAATTTAATTATTATAATGTATGTTATATTCATTTCATTAATTAGTTATAATAAAAAAAAACTAATTATTAGTTAGGCTGCAAACAAGGAAACAAATGCAAGCAAAACTATTTGAGTGATTTTTTTTGATATTCTGATTTATTTATTTTTTCATGACATATAAATGTCTCACTGAACTAAATACAACAAATAAATTGTAACTTGACATATACTGTGTAACAATAGCCACTCTATCAAAGTTTATAAGTTTTGCGAAATAATTATTTCAATGTTTTTTCTATTTTATAATAATTAAAATCCCAAAGCTTTATTTTTCTGAATAATTAAGGTTTTATTCCAAATAATTCTGAAAGTTATAAATGATGAAAATATTGCTCTACTATCAATAATCATTAAACTTTAATTTTCATATGAGTAATAAGATATTTAAGATAAATATTTTAGTAATATTAATAGGTTTCTTATATAGTTGAATGTATATTCATTGTTTATCAAACAGTCTGAATTACACAATATTCTGTTGTTTATAATTTGTAACTTAATACAGATTTTGTCATTGAAAAATTAATTAATAGGCTGATCTAGAAAAACCTATGTATGACTTACAAATACCTTCAAAATCATCGATAACAAATTGTAATTGTCACTTTTAGATTATTATCTGGAATGTGTGATATAATAATATCACATCATTAGCTTTACATAATGTAACATAAAATATTATAAAATGAAAATATGTAGCAAACTGAAAAGTTTATATCATTTTACTAATTAATTTAATTTAATTATATGAAATTCTCACAGATGATAACAGTTCAAATTTTTATGTTTTTTTCTTTGATATATTTGAAAAAAGAATGTAGAATAGCTTTAATGTAAAGTATTAAACAAGTAAAATAATGTATTCGACCCACAATAAAATAGGTCAATAATTAATAATCACTATTTGTTAAACTAAATTGATTATTGAAATTGCCATAACTGAATAACAATTTCGATGTTGTAGATTGTCACAATAGGTTGTAGAATATTATATAATAATAATAATCTGCAGCCTACTGTGAAAATAGTGGATTACAACATTTATTCAGCAACCAAAAGATAACATTTGTGCATTGAATGAATAAAATCAATAAAGTATTTTTTTTAAATTATATTCACAAGACATTTTTGATGATAGAATATATTTCTCACAAGTCTAACAAGGACTAATAGAAAAATCAAAAACTTTAGTTTTTATTCTTTTAATAATAGATTTTCAAGTTTATAAAACTGCATATATCCTTCTATATAATTTACTTATCAAAATAAAAACAGTCCTTTTACAAATTTGAAACTTATTTAATATTTTTGGAGAAACTTGGCTCCATTTTCAGACACATTCAAAATTTTAATTTAAGAATAGATTATTTAAAAACTGTTAATACTTTCACTAAAAGTTTTATAAATTTTTTAATCACTTGAAATTAAAACTTTTAAATAGAATACAAATGACATTTCTATGAATAGAAAGTTTTAAAAATTATAAAGAAAAAATATCTAAAAATATTGAACTTAAATATAAATTTTAGATAAAAGCAAAATTCATGGATGTACCAGTACATGGTAATATTTATTCTTATATTAATCAATGAGTTTTTTTATTGCTTTATTGCTAATATTAAAGCTTTTATAACACTAACAGACAGGTTTTTTTTAAAATTTTACCTTTATAAATATGCAATTAGGTAGTGATGCCACTCTCCTATTTTACATAAATCTTCTGGATCAGGATTGTGTAATATGATATAATAAGCATTTTTATAAAAATGAAATTTTATATATGAATTCTAAAGAAAATGAAAGTATTTGAATTTTAGTTGAAAAACTCTTAAACAATTCATTTAATCATCTGTTATAATTTTGTTCAAGAATTTGAGTGGTTAAATATAATGTTGAAAACAAAGATAAGTTGTTTTGAAGATGTTGAAATAGCAAAATTTCAGATTCTCAGAAAAAGAATTTTTGTTAACTATTCAAAACTTGTTTTGCTTTATTCAATGTCATGACTTGGTGAATATATTGACACTTGGCAGATAATTTCATCATCACCTTTTAATCCATAAAGATACGTGTTTTGGGCTTTCATCCCTCTTCATTAAAAGTTGATGATGAAATTATTTGCTAAGTGTCAATAAATTCACCAAGTCATGACATTTGAACCAAACAAAACAAGAAGACGACAACACGGTTTTGACAAGTAAATATTCAAAACTTGTTAAATATGATTTTAGAATAAACTAAATTTCATATATTAAATTAATTTTTATATATATATATTTGAAACTTTAAAGAAAATTAATATATATCATATTTATTCTGCTAATGAAAATTTCATAATTGAAAATTTTTATTTTTCTCAGTTAAGTTTAATTAAATATAATGCCATTAACCATAATGGCTACATTTGCTCTGCCTGTGATTTTAACAGGAATTATTAAAAACAAATGCAAACATTTATGACCAAAACATTGTTAAACATATAATTTTAATTTAACAAATTTAAAAATAATTTAGTCTATTCCTCAGCCATATAATGAGATAAATTATCTGTGGATACTACATAAAAGTTTTTGATAATATAGTGAGTGATCAGTTAACGAACAAATCAGATAATGAACACTTTCGCTAAAGATTTTTATGTTCAGACAATGAACATATGATCAGATAACGAACACCTCACAGAACAAACACAATAAGAAGCGACATAAAATAATGAATACCGATTGGTCTTCCCGTGTCTTCAGACAACAATTCAAAACTTTTTGGAGCGCGGGAGACGTTGATATCAACATTCAACTCGGTATATAACTCATTGACACTCAAATCGGATAGTATTCCTCCGAACTTTGAAACTATCTCTTGTAATTCCAGCCTTTTATTTTTCTGACAGAAACAGTTTTTTATAGTATTTGTGAGACTGTCGGTCAGACACTCGTTAAGTTTTGCATCGGTTTTTATTTTCAAAAGGTGAGAGTATAATAGCGAAAGTAGAGGGTGGGCAGATGTCTGATGTCTGTTGTTGCTGGGCAGTATGGTTTGAACAGGTTCACAGTAGACTGCAGTTCATTCTTATCTAAGAAAGATACTGTATTATCAAGAAGACTCAAGCAGCTTAAGGAGTAACAAAAATCATATCTGAGAAATAAAGAACATTGAAGAGCTGAATGGAACCTGAAACGGATCTGACAACAGAAGAATGCCAAGAACTCTTGAATGAAGAACATCAAGAAACTCGGTGAGATATGTTTTCTTCTGAAAGAGAATCCAAACCAGGTTGAGATTAATAGGCTTAGGGATCTCTACAATTACTATGCTATTAATTACTTCTGAAAAATCTTGAAAAAGAGAAAAGCAATTGACATTAGCCAGATTCTTTAACCCCTACAAACAGAAAAAACATTGACTAATAAAAATGCAAGATTGTGTATGTATGTATTTTTATTATTACATATAAATAAACATAATAAGAAAATATATATTTTTTTATTTTGGGGGGTCTCCAGAATGAATTAATCAAATTCCCATAAAAACCTATGGTAAATCGACAATCGGTTAATGAACAATTCGGATAGCGAACAAAGTCTTGAAACAGATTATGTTCGTTAACTGATCACACACTGTATTATCAAAAACTTTGAACATTTTAAATATATATGAAAAATTTTGTTCTATAAGTTAAACTATTATCCTTATTACATTTTAATGTAATTATTAATTTAATTTTGAATTTTTAGTTTGGTGATTCAGGATTACAATTAATATCTGAACATTTGCACCAACTTCAAGTTCTGAATTTATGTGAAACACCTGTTACAGATAAAGGATTAATTTCATTATCAGGTAAACACAACATTATTTTAGAAATATTAATATATAAGATAATCAAAAGAAGGTAAACAAAATCATTTTAATAGAAGTTCGGTATGATTTATTTAATATAATTTATCCATTTATAAACTCTTATCTTGTTAAATTTTAGAATATCAAATTTACTGAGAAACATATTGGAATTCAATTTTGTTTTAAAATTAATGAAATAACAAATTAATATAAGAAGACTGCATAATGACTTAACATTCTCCTGATTTTTTTTGAAGTAATGTTTATATTACCTATAGCAAATTTCTTTAATAAAACAAGTAGAGAAATGCTGATATCTTGTATAATTTTCTGTTTTGATCTATAATTTATTCCTTACTTAAATTTGACATTGCAAAAAAATAAATGTAATAGCATAAATGAATAGCAAAGAATAAGTTTATATCATAAATTTAGTTTATAAAGAATAATTGTAAAATAATTATAAACATGTATGAAAAATAAAACTATATTTTTTAGTGTAACATTTTTTCAATAGTTGTATTATTGCAACAGTTACAAATATAAACTACTGAAGAATAGTTAAATGAAGTTTCATTTTTATACTTTTTTACAATTTTCTCAAAAATTTGATAGATAATTTAGATTCTTATCATTTATCCAGTAGCATTTTTTATTATTATTGATTAATATTTATTTATTACAATCTGTAAATTGTTTTGAAATAAATTTATTTTACTTTTGTTTTAGCAATGAAAGGTTTAAGAAAACTCAATCTGAATAGCACAGGTTTATCAGCACACACATTTGAAGGATTGAAGGTTAGTACATAATATCTTTAAATTAATTTTTAAAATTAATTATTACTTCTGGCAAATTTTTGAAATGTGCTAACTACTGTATGAATAATAATTTAGTTTAAAAATTAATGTTTAGTTACGTTAAAAATGTTTTGTATTTTCTGAAATGTGAATTTCAGAATTTATTTATATGAAAAAAATATATATCATAGAATCTTATAAAGGTTTTTTAAAATTTTATTTTAGCAAAATCTGCCGTTGTTAGAGGAATACGATATATGTTACACAGATGCCTGGTGATGAAATAAGAAAATATTCTGTTTTTAATTAAGACTGCAAGTATATTCATTAGCTGCTACAGTTTAATTGACTGACAACATTCCTTTTTTGTGTCATCTCATCTCATTGACAAAAGTTTAACATTTCTATAAATATTTATCATATTCATCTTCATTGACTTGCTGGACAAGTGACTGAAAAAAAAATTCATCTAAGACATGATTTTTTCATTAATAAAAGCATATCCAGTCAACTCTATCTGAGATACATATTGTAGAATTGAAGACTTCATGACAGAAGTATTGTTAAATCATTATAAATTATAAATAATCTTCTTTACTGTAAAGTTTCATATGAATTTGTTATTCTAATTATTATAATTAATGTTAAAAATTATATTTATTATGTTTTTTTATTATTTAAAAGCACTTGTAATAACCAGATGAATTTATCATATGAAAATCAGTTTTAAGTTAATGAATTACTGAACATAATTATTTAAAACAAATAATAATATATAAGCATTTATTTTTATTAATAGTTTTATTTTATTTTATTTTCTATAGAATAAGCATATCATGTTCATTTATAAATATAATATTTATAAAAATCAAAATTAGTGTAATATCATCATTTTGAAATATATCTAGTCATTATTCTGCATTTAAATTTTAAACATATTTAAAATTTTATTCTTTAGATGTTTAACAAGACAACTTTTTATTTTTCATAAATATTCATTTTAACTTTAGTTTCACTTGGTTTTTGTGTTTCAATATTAGGCTTTTCAGTCTTGGTTGCAGGTCACTCATAAACAAAAACTTGTTAGTAAATTGATAGAATAAATTGAAAATTTTAAGCATATGAATATATAAAATTATGTTTTAAAATGTGTATGAAAATAAGAAATGAATCATTATAGACAAATTTTCTACTTGTAAAATTATTATTTGATCTGTATAAATTATGATAAATATATATTGTGTGGAAAAAGATAAATGTTAATTATTTAAAATTCTTATGTAGATACAGTGCTATGATAAACTTTAATCAAATGTCACAGACATCTATATTTTTCTCAAGTGATTTATATTATGGTTTAATCTTTTGAATATGCATGAATCTAAATGTATAAAATCATTCAGTTAATATTATATACGAGTCACTTAATCTAAATTTCATTCAGACTGTTATCATATTAAAATTATATAAAAATTAAGCATGAATTAAAAATTAGGAATATAGTTTTTATGAACAATGAATACAGAATTAACTCCCGTGGGACATTTATTAACTACTTACTCTTAATACTAAGTGCCTCATCGAATTCAAGAATACCATTGGATAATTAATATACTGTTAATATTATAAATCAATATCAATGAAATCATTGTAACATAACGGGCATAATTATAAATGTATTTATAATTTTTATTTTTTTTCAATTTAATTTAGTTCAATAATTATCAGCATCATCACTAAAAATAATGAAATTAGATAAATTGTAATATATATTAGTTTTAGGGTCTTATATATTATTTTACACTGCCAAATATAAATATTTCTATAAGTAACAAGATTCAAATAGTAGAAGCAAATGAATATTTTATTTATAATTGATATAATAACAAAGACCAGAACATAGAAAATTTTTTAAATATAATCACAGAAATAAATTCACTAATTTAAAATAACTTTCACTTAAGTCCATAAATTTTAATTTATCAAATCAATAGATATATATAGCTAAATTACAGTTTTATAAACAAATTTCTATATATTGACAACTTTAATATAATAAAGTTGTCAACTTAGTTTACAACATAGTTTAATAAAGTTTACTAGTAATAACTTTAATATGTAAATAAAGTAATTACCAGTAGTAAATAGTTATTAAGATTCCATTAGTTTATTTTATACCGATACTGATGCATAAAAAGTTTTTTATATCATAACTAAAAGATTTTTTTTTTTTGTTTAATTCAGATTAGTCTGATTCATTTGAAATAAATTTTCAGAAAATTTCATGCTTAAATGAAACTTCATTTCAAGGTAAACTATAATCTTAGATAGACAAAGATAATAATTTTATAAATATTCTTCCTATACTCATTTATTTACTGGAATCACAAAGTATATCCATTAAAAAAAACAAATGACCAAAATCAGTTTTACTATGCAAGTTTGCCATGTATTTACTCTATTCTTCCATTTGGTTGGCACCCTCATTGGTGTGGCATTCTCTGGGATTAACCGAAATATAAAACCAGAGAATGCTGTATTGACAAAGGCGTCAGCCAAAACACATGTAAGGAAATAAATGGCAAATTTGCATAGTAAAAATGATTTTGATCATTTATGAACTGTCTGAAAAGCCTTACATTGAAAAGAGTTTTTTTTAATGTTAAATAAAATGCTTAAAGTTTTAAAATATAAAGCAAGTTTTATTTTGAACTCTTTTCTGAGATAATTAACAAATTTCAAATCTTGATTTTATGAAATAATAATAATAAATAAGCTAAAAATAATTATTGTAAACAAAATTNAATTAGTTATAATAAAAAAAAACTAATTATTAGTTAGGCTGCAAACAAGGAAACAAATGCAAGCAAAACTATTTGAGTGATTTTTTTTGATATTCTGATTTATTTATTTTTTCATGACATATAAATGTCTCACTGAACTAAATACAACAAATAAATTGTAACTTGACATATACTGTGTAACAATAGCCACTCTATCAAAGTTTATAAGTTTTGCGAAATAATTATTTCAATGTTTTTTCTATTTTATAATAATTAAAATCCCAAAGCTTTATTTTTCTGAATAATTAAGGTTTTATTCCAAATAATTCTGAAAGTTATAAATGATGAAAATATTGCTCTACTATCAATAATCATTAAACTTTAATTTTCATATGAGTAATAAGATATTTAAGATAAATATTTTAGTAATATTAATAGGTTTCTTATATAGTTGAATGTATATTCATTGTTTATCAAACAGTCTGAATTACACAATATTCTGTTGTTTATAATTTGTAACTTAATACAGATTTTGTCATTGAAAAATTAATTAATAGGCTGATCTAGAAAAACCTATGTATGACTTACAAATACCTTCAAAATCATCGATAACAAATTGTAATTGTCACTTTTAGATTATTATCTGGAATGTGTGATATAATAATATCACATCATTAGCTTTACATAATGTAACATAAAATATTATAAAATGAAAATATGTAGCAAACTGAAAAGTTTATATCATTTTACTAATTAATTTAATTTAATTATATGAAATTCTCACAGATGATAACAGTTCAAATTTTTATGTTTTTTTCTTTGATATATTTGAAAAAAGAATGTAGAATAGCTTTAATGTAAAGTATTAAACAAGTAAAATAATGTATTCGACCCACAATAAAATAGGTCAATAATTAATAATCACTATTTGTTAAACTAAATTGATTATTGAAATTGCCATAACTGAATAACAATTTCGATGTTGTAGATTGTCACAATAGGTTGTAGAATATTATATAATAATAATAATCTGCAGCCTACTGTGAAAATAGTGGATTACAACATTTATTCAGCAACCAAAAGATAACATTTGTGCATTGAATGAATAAAATCAATAAAGTATTTTTTTTAAATTATATTCACAAGACATTTTTGATGATAGAATATATTTCTCACAAGTCTAACAAGGACTAATAGAAAAATCAAAAACTTTAGTTTTTATTCTTTTAATAATAGATTTTCAAGTTTATAAAACTGCATATATCCTTCTATATAATTTACTTATCAAAATAAAAACAGTCCTTTTACAAATTTGAAACTTATTTAATATTTTTGGAGAAACTTGGCTCCATTTTCAGACACATTCAAAATTTTAATTTAAGAATAGATTATTTAAAAACTGTTAATACTTTCACTAAAAGTTTTATAAATTTTTTAATCACTTGAAATTAAAACTTTTAAATAGAATACAAATGACATTTCTATGAATAGAAAGTTTTAAAAATTATAAAGAAAAAATATCTAAAAATATTGAACTTAAATATAAATTTTAGATAAAAGCAAAATTCATGGATGTACCAGTACATGGTAATATTTATTCTTATATTAATCAATGAGTTTTTTTATTGCTTTATTGCTAATATTAAAGCTTTTATAACACTAACAGACAGGTTTTTTTTAAAATTTTACCTTTATAAATATGCAATTAGGTAGTGATGCCACTCTCCTATTTTACATAAATCTTCTGGATCAGGATTGTGTAATATGATATAATAAGCATTTTTATAAAAATGAAATTTTATATATGAATTCTAAAGAAAATGAAAGTATTTGAATTTTAGTTGAAAAACTCTTAAACAATTCATTTAATCATCTGTTATAATTTTGTTCAAGAATTTGAGTGGTTAAATATAATGTTGAAAACAAAGATAAGTTGTTTTGAAGATGTTGAAATAGCAAAATTTCAGATTCTCAGAAAAAGAATTTTTGTTAACTATTCAAAACTTGTTTTGCTTTATTCAATGTCATGACTTGGTGAATATATTGACACTTGGCAGATAATTTCATCATCACCTTTTAATCCATAAAGATACGTGTTTTGGGCTTTCATCCCTCTTCATTAAAAGTTGATGATGAAATTATTTGCTAAGTGTCAATAAATTCACCAAGTCATGACATTTGAACCAAACAAAACAAGAAGACGACAACACGGTTTTGACAAGTAAATATTCAAAACTTGTTAAATATGATTTTAGAATAAACTAAATTTCATATATTAAATTAATTTTTATATATATATATTTGAAACTTTAAAGAAAATTAATATATATCATATTTATTCTGCTAATGAAAATTTCATAATTGAAAATTTTTATTTTTCTCAGTTAAGTTTAATTAAATATAATGCCATTAACCATAATGGCTACATTTGCTCTGCCTGTGATTTTAACAGGAATTATTAAAAACAAATGCAAACATTTATGACCAAAACATTGTTAAACATATAATTTTAATTTAACAAATTTAAAAATAATTTAGTCTATTCCTCAGCCATATAATGAGATAAATTATCTGTGGATACTACATAAAAGTTTTTGATAATATAGTGAGTGATCAGTTAACGAACAAATCAGATAATGAACACTTTCGCTAAAGATTTTTATGTTCAGACAATGAACATATGATCAGATAACGAACACCTCACAGAACAAACACAATAAGAAGCGACATAAAATAATGAATACCGATTGGTCTTCCCGTGTCTTCAGACAACAATTCAAAACTTTTTGGAGCGCGGGAGACGTTGATATCAACATTCAACTCGGTATATAACTCATTGACACTCAAATCGGATAGTATTCCTCCGAACTTTGAAACTATCTCTTGTAATTCCAGCCTTTTATTTTTCTGACAGAAACAGTTTTTTATAGTATTTGTGAGACTGTCGGTCAGACACTCGTTAAGTTTTGCATCGGTTTTTATTTTCAAAAGGTGAGAGTATAATAGCGAAAGTAGAGGGTGGGCAGATGTCTGATGTCTGTTGTTGCTGGGCAGTATGGTTTGAACAGGTTCACAGTAGACTGCAGTTCATTCTTATCTAAGAAAGATACTGTATTATCAAGAAGACTCAAGCAGCTTAAGGAGTAACAAAAATCATATCTGAGAAATAAAGAACATTGAAGAGCTGAATGGAACCTGAAACGGATCTGACAACAGAAGAATGCCAAGAACTCTTGAATGAAGAACATCAAGAAACTCGGTGAGATATGTTTTCTTCTGAAAGAGAATCCAAACCAGGTTGAGATTAATAGGCTTAGGGATCTCTACAATTACTATGCTATTAATTACTTCTGAAAAATCTTGAAAAAGAGAAAAGCAATTGACATTAGCCAGATTCTTTAACCCCTACAAACAGAAAAAACATTGACTAATAAAAATGCAAGATTGTGTATGTATGTATTTTTATTATTACATATAAATAAACATAATAAGAAAATATATATTTTTTTATTTTGGGGGGTCTCCAGAATGAATTAATCAAATTCCCATAAAAACCTATGGTAAATCGACAATCGGTTAATGAACAATTCGGATAGCGAACAAAGTCTTGAAACAGATTATGTTCGTTAACTGATCACACACTGTATTATCAAAAACTTTGAACATTTTAAATATATATGAAAAATTTTGTTCTATAAGTTAAACTATTATCCTTATTACATTTTAATGTAATTATTAATTTAATTTTGAATTTTTAGTTTGGTGATTCAGGATTACAATTAATATCTGAACATTTGCACCAACTTCAAGTTCTGAATTTATGTGAAACACCTGTTACAGATAAAGGATTAATTTCATTATCAGGTAAACACAACATTATTTTAGAAATATTAATATATAAGATAATCAAAAGAAGGTAAACAAAATCATTTTAATAGAAGTTCGGTATGATTTATTTAATATAATTTATCCATTTATAAACTCTTATCTTGTTAAATTTTAGAATATCAAATTTACTGAGAAACATATTGGAATTCAATTTTGTTTTAAAATTAATGAAATAACAAATTAATATAAGAAGACTGCATAATGACTTAACATTCTCCTGATTTTTTTTGAAGTAATGTTTATATTACCTATAGCAAATTTCTTTAATAAAACAAGTAGAGAAATGCTGATATCTTGTATAATTTTCTGTTTTGATCTATAATTTATTCCTTACTTAAATTTGACATTGCAAAAAAATAAATGTAATAGCATAAATGAATAGCAAAGAATAAGTTTATATCATAAATTTAGTTTATAAAGAATAATTGTAAAATAATTATAAACATGTATGAAAAATAAAACTATATTTTTTAGTGTAACATTTTTTCAATAGTTGTATTATTGCAACAGTTACAAATATAAACTACTGAAGAATAGTTAAATGAAGTTTCATTTTTATACTTTTTTACAATTTTCTCAAAAATTTGATAGATAATTTAGATTCTTATCATTTATCCAGTAGCATTTTTTATTATTATTGATTAATATTTATTTATTACAATCTGTAAATTGTTTTGAAATAAATTTATTTTACTTTTGTTTTAGCAATGAAAGGTTTAAGAAAACTCAATCTGAATAGCACAGGTTTATCAGCACACACATTTGAAGGATTGAAGGTTAGTACATAATATCTTTAAATTAATTTTTAAAATTAATTATTACTTCTGGCAAATTTTTGAAATGTGCTAACTACTGTATGAATAATAATTTAGTTTAAAAATTAATGTTTAGTTACGTTAAAAATGTTTTGTATTTTCTGAAATGTGAATTTCAGAATTTATTTATATGAAAAAAATATATATCATAGAATCTTATAAAGGTTTTTTAAAATTTTATTTTAGCAAAATCTGCCGTTGTTAGAGGAATACGATATATGTTACACAGATGCCTGGTGATGAAATAAGAAAATATTCTGTTTTTAATTAAGACTGCAAGTATATTCATTAGCTGCTACAGTTTAATTGACTGACAACATTCCTTTTTTGTGTCATCTCATCTCATTGACAAAAGTTTAACATTTCTATAAATATTTATCATATTCATCTTCATTGACTTGCTGGACAAGTGACTGAAAAAAAAATTCATCTAAGACATGATTTTTTCATTAATAAAAGCATATCCAGTCAACTCTATCTGAGATACATATTGTAGAATTGAAGACTTCATGACAGAAGTATTGTTAAATCATTATAAATTATAAATAATCTTCTTTACTGTAAAGTTTCATATGAATTTGTTATTCTAATTATTATAATTAATGTTAAAAATTATATTTATTATGTTTTTTTATTATTTAAAAGCACTTGTAATAACCAGATGAATTTATCATATGAAAATCAGTTTTAAGTTAATGAATTACTGAACATAATTATTTAAAACAAATAATAATATATAAGCATTTATTTTTATTAATAGTTTTATTTTATTTTATTTTCTATAGAATAAGCATATCATGTTCATTTATAAATATAATATTTATAAAAATCAAAATTAGTGTAATATCATCATTTTGAAATATATCTAGTCATTATTCTGCATTTAAATTTTAAACATATTTAAAATTTTATTCTTTAGATGTTTAACAAGACAACTTTTTATTTTTCATAAATATTCATTTTAACTTTAGTTTCACTTGGTTTTTGTGTTTCAATATTAGGCTTTTCAGTCTTGGTTGCAGGTCACTCATAAACAAAAACTTGTTAGTAAATTGATAGAATAAATTGAAAATTTTAAGCATATGAATATATAAAATTATGTTTTAAAATGTGTATGAAAATAAGAAATGAATCATTATAGACAAATTTTCTACTTGTAAAATTATTATTTGATCTGTATAAATTATGATAAATATATATTGTGTGGAAAAAGATAAATGTTAATTATTTAAAATTCTTATGTAGATACAGTGCTATGATAAACTTTAATCAAATGTCACAGACATCTATATTTTTCTCAAGTGATTTATATTATGGTTTAATCTTTTGAATATGCATGAATCTAAATGTATAAAATCATTCAGTTAATATTATATACGAGTCACTTAATCTAAATTTCATTCAGACTGTTATCATATTAAAATTATATAAAAATTAAGCATGAATTAAAAATTAGGAATATAGTTTTTATGAACAATGAATACAGAATTAACTCCCGTGGGACATTTATTAACTACTTACTCTTAATACTAAGTGCCTCATCGAATTCAAGAATACCATTGGATAATTAATATACTGTTAATATTATAAATCAATATCAATGAAATCATTGTAACATAACGGGCATAATTATAAATGTATTTATAATTTTTATTTTTTTTCAATTTAATTTAGTTCAATAATTATCAGCATCATCACTAAAAATAATGAAATTAGATAAATTGTAATATATATTAGTTTTAGGGTCTTATATATTATTTTACACTGCCAAATATAAATATTTCTATAAGTAACAAGATTCAAATAGTAGAAGCAAATGAATATTTTATTTATAATTGATATAATAACAAAGACCAGAACATAGAAAATTTTTTAAATATAATCACAGAAATAAATTCACTAATTTAAAATAACTTTCACTTAAGTCCATAAATTTTAATTTATCAAATCAATAGATATATATAGCTAAATTACAGTTTTATAAACAAATTTCTATATATTGACAACTTTAATATAATAAAGTTGTCAACTTAGTTTACAACATAGTTTAATAAAGTTTACTAGTAATAACTTTAATATGTAAATAAAGTAATTACCAGTAGTAAATAGTTATTAAGATTCCATTAGTTTATTTTATACCGATACTGATGCATAAAAAGTTTTTTATATCATAACTAAAAGATTTTTTTTTTTTGTTTAATTCAGATTAGTCTGATTCATTTGAAATAAATTTTCAGAAAATTTCATGCTTAAATGAAACTTCATTTCAAGGTAAACTATAATCTTAGATAGACAAAGATAATAATTTTATAAATATTCTTCCTATACTCATTTATTTACTGGAATCACAAAGTATATCCATTAAAAAAAACAAATGACCAAAATCAGTTTTACTATGCAAGTTTGCCATGTATTTACTCTATTCTTCCATTTGGTTGGCACCCTCATTGGTGTGGCATTCTCTGGGATTAACCGAAATATAAAACCAGAGAATGCTGTATTGACAAAGGCGTCAGCCAAAACACATGTAAGGAAATAAATGGCAAATTTGCATAGTAAAAATGATTTTGATCATTTATGAACTGTCTGAAAAGCCTTACATTGAAAAGAGTTTTTTTTAATGTTAAATAAAATGCTTAAAGTTTTAAAATATAAAGCAAGTTTTATTTTGAACTCTTTTCTGAGATAATTAACAAATTTCAAATCTTGATTTTATGAAATAATAATAATAAATAAGCTAAAAATAATTATTGTAAACAAAATTTGAAATTTAAAATATGTATCTGTCTGTCTGGTTATTACAATTTTTCAATCTTATTTTTCACTATCTAAAGAATTTTTTTCTTTATACTTTACATTACATTTATTTCTTAAAATTCAATTTAACTAATAATTTAAAATCACATAATTGGCACAACACGATAATTTATTAAATAGATATTTATTTATTTATTATTCATTTAGTATTTATTTTAAACCAAATGTGCCCAATAATGCCAAATAATTCTTGAAAAATCTTATTGTAATTAATGAAAAAATTTGATACTGTTTGATATAATTTTAAAAAATTTCAAGTTATTTGCTAATAAGAAAAATAAAAGATCTAAAATATATATATATAATATATATAAAAAAAAGGAGAAGATTTACTTTCTAAATTTTTAAAATATTTAAAATTAAATGTGCCACAGTGAATATTTTCGTTCACGAGATTCAATCATAACATTTTTAAAATATCATCTAAGCACAATGTTCTATCCATAAAATAATTCATCGACAAACTTTTTTAACTTTATCTCATAAACAACAACATAAGTTATTACGTTGTTATATTTTCAGCATTAAAAGAAGTACACTTGCTGTTAACATTCAGCATAAGCACTCATTAAACTCTGTACAGTATCTTTTTGATACTTATCAATTTTACTTGTAACAGTTTAAGAAAATTGTTAAGAAAAAAAAAACATGTAAAATCGACATTATCTTCAGTAATAGAAGACTTCCAGTTGTTTCTATGAAGTGTTGAGCATGTGATGTATAGATGTATATTTTGGCCTCACTACTGTTTATTTTATAAATCCAAGTGTACCTCACACCTTTCTCTTTTTAATTTTATTTATATTTAAGAAAGTATCTTTTAGAAGAAATCTTAATATCTTAAGAGTATTAACAAATTAATTTATAAATCAATACATAAAATATTTGCATGGATTTATAAATTAAGTTGCAAAACTTTTTTTAGTAAGAATATAATATTAAACAATATTATATTCATTTTTTGGATTGAGGCTAAATTTAGGCATGTTTAAAGTTTGTTATACTAGTAATAATATGATCGTTGGGAGTCCTGTATGTATTAGTTATATTTAAAGTCCTACAGTATTATTTGGTCAGCCATAGTTTCTATGGCACTATTAAGTCGAAAATATTTGATTTTTCTTTGTTGAAAATTACACAATATCTTAAGTCTTTTTTAAAATCTATTTAATCAATGTCTTGCCAATAGGGAACAGTATAAAAATTTTAATTTAAGAGACATGTTTCTATTGTTTTTATTACATTTACTCGTAAATGTTTGAAGTCAAAGATGTATTGTATATTTCTCTCCTATAAATAAAACATCACTATTGCTCAAAATGTTCATTTTATTTATTAAAAGAAAAATGTAAATAACTGTTTTGTTTTTTTTTTCTTTTAATAAACACTCTAATTATGTTTAAAATAGAATTAAACAAAATAGAAGTTGATAACATTGATTCTAAGATTATAATTATTATTTGTAATTAAAAATCTTAGTAGTTTTGTATTTATTGATATATAAACATATAAATCATTATATTGATTATACACATTTTGTTCTCATATAATATTAATATAAATAAATATTAAATATAGCATTTTATTAAAGATTATTATAAAGTTAGCTAGTTTTATGTGTCTTTTCATAATTAAAATTCTAATTGATTTAAAATTATCATCAAAATCGAGTAAATTTTATTCAATACAGAAGTGCTTCCTCATATTTCTTCCAAGTATTTGGGCCAAAGACTTGTTACAATCCTAGTTTTCTCTCTATCGTTTCACAAGACAAACAGTCAGGCTAAATTAATTAATGTAAATTTAGAAAAGAAATTATTCTGTAGAAACACATCATGTAAAATATTAATATTAGACAATAATACATAATGAGTAAAGATAAAGTAAAATCTTATTAGGAAAATGAATAAGTCCTATCAATATATTAATTAGAGACCTACAGTTAATTTCATTCTTCTGTCTTAGTTTAAATAGTTTGGTGTATATAAATTGTTACAATATATCAATATATATAATTAATATAAGGAAAAAATAAGGATAGTGTCTTTTAAGACACTATCCTTATTTTTTCCTGAAAATTTTATAGTGTCTTAAAAGATTCCATTTCATCCCAATTTTTACAAGTCTTAAGATCTTCAATTCTCTAAATTTAAAGATAAAAAACAAACACCTGAAGATATGAAATCAAACAATCTGAAATTTGAAAACTTGTTCAATGATATAATAGCTTATCATTTAATAAAATGAGATTATCATGGAACATCATTTGCTTAATTAATGTAGATTTTAGTACTCTCAAAAAGCAAATGATAGTATGATAGTATTTTTTAATGGATAATTTATTAATTAACCTAGTCTTTGAATTTCGTAGTACTAGTATTATTATCTCAGTCACCATAAAATTCTTTGGTAAATTTTGTATATGGATCTATTGACAATATGAGCCTGATATAATAAAGTCTGATTCAGTTTGTTTAAAAAAAAAATACTGGAATAATCTCTACTATATATTTTTTCCCCAACATTTCTGCAGAAATTAATCAGGATGGATACTAGGCCCATACTTTGTTAATTTGCATGCGTTAACGTTTTTGTTGTTGGCAGCGAGTGCGCTAATGGGCCGTGCATTAAAGGTAAGTCAAGTAAATTGATTATTATTTTCAATCCTGTTAATCAGGCCTGATCATTTCTCTATTTTTTCTTAGAAGATAATTGGCAAAATTGCCTTGTAAAATTTTACTAATACTGTTATTGTCTGTCAGGAAATATTTATATCGCCGTTTAATTCATAAAATAATATGAAATATTCAGAATATCATAGTCTAATGCAAAATTTTTGAATTTTTGCACAGTTTTTTTAATACAAACTTGTATTTTCTAATTTATTTTCATCAATTAGTACTATAAAATCGTGCAATAATGAATGGCCACCTTTGGAATATCCTATTAATAGTGAAGTACGTGATTACCAATAAATGCTTTATTATACCAGTCTTGACTCTTATAATTATTTTTCAAGTGGATGAAATTTTAATTAATAAATTATCATAAAACATTTCTCCTTAAAGACAAATGTAGAGCCATCCCAAACCATATCTGCAAGTAATTCTGTATGGACTCGTGTGTCTTACGAAGACAAAGTTATTTATCTAGCTAGATGTACTGTATAAGCGTGGTTGGTTAACCGTTCTCTTCTTACATTCATTTCCACATGATGAAAATTTAACTGGAACGGTCGAATACACGGACAATTTCCATGCATTGTGTTTTTATGTACAGTACATCGCATACAGCTTCAAACCACTTATAAAAGAACTCTCTGGCTGTTGTTTTTTTTTCCTTTGCGTGTCCCAAAGTTTAATACCATTTTTACCTTAAAGTTCGAAATGTTAGGCGCGACTTCGCATCCACGTCGCTTCGTCGCAATATAAATGATTGCCGAGTTTAATTAGCGAGGTTGAGGCCGAAGTTTTAAACGCAAAAACGTGTACGTCGGACGTTCAGCGCCGCCTTCCTGTAAGCCTAGAAGTTTGACGATGGCGTTTGGAACGTCAGTGGAATCATACTCGACGTATTAAACGCCATTGTCAAACTTCTAGGCTTATAGGAAGGCAGTACTGAACATCCGACGTACACGTTTTCGCGATGAAAACGTCGGCCGCAACCTCTCTATTTACAGAAATTTACTTATATTATGGACTGAATGCTGGCGGCCGGATGGCCAAACCGTTAAGGTGGAAGCCTGTCGTTCCGGGGTCCCGAGATCGTTTGTTTTGTTAAGTTATGGCAACGCAACACTTGGGCGATCTGCCTAGGGGAAATGCCTTCCGGGAGGTCTTTTTAAGGGTTACTGGCTCTATTTAGGCGTTACAGACGTGGAAAAAACCCGGAAAACTCCACGTGACCAGCCCGTTTGGGCGAGGCGCGAACCCACGACCGAACTCCTAAGTGTTTAGGGAACGAAACCGCTTGGCTACTGGTGGGGCGTAAACTCCAGGAATGTTTCGGCGGTGATTCGTTCTGATACTTCGGGTCTTCTCACCATCCGGTAGTTCCATAGTGGGCCTGGCCGAACCCATAATAGGTTTTAAAAGAAAAGACTGCTAGATGCTGAATATTAGAAAGTGACTACAGGTTTTTAGACCAATAGCTTTTTAGGTCCCCGAAGCAAATATTAAGGAAGAAAAAAATAAAGTTATAACGAGAAATAACGTTAAATTTAATGTGTCGATTTTAAAACGCGTTGCCGGATGTGAAGCTGGCAACATTCAGGCATACACCATTATGCCGAAACCATTTCCTGTTTACGTCGCGCAAGATTACAATGATTTTATATTAATAAATTATTCAATTTAGAATATAAAAATAGACAAAATGCGTTATTTTAAACGTTTGTTTAAATATCTCAACAACTTGTTATGTTGACAGAAAAAGCTCAGATATTTATGTATGATGACGTCGTCGCCGAGATGAGTTTCGTTATTTCTTCAGTATGAAAAACGATTATATTTTAAAATTCAATGTTTATTTTTGGTTAATAACAAGTATTTTTTCTTTAGAAAGATTTACAAGGTAATAATTCTTTAGTCACGCATAAAATTGTAAAAATAATACTTAATTATTATTTATTTATTTATTTGCCGCTGCATGTCGCAGACGAATGACTTTATTGTCACGTGGTAAACTTCAATATTTACAATGGGATCATTTGTGTAAACTAAAACATGAAATAACTCAAATTTCTGTTGCAGGAAAACATGCTTATTAATTTTTAGACAGACAACATTATTATTATTTTGAATTATGACATAATATGCATAAAAGTGCATTAATTTCTAATTCACTGTGATTTATCAAAATAATCCTGGATAAATAAATTCTGGGAGTTATTTTTATATTATATTAATATAAGAGAAATATAGGGTGGAATTTTAAATGTTAAATGCTTGGATCAAAAGATCTGCTATTGCTATAGAAGTGTACATCTTTAGAAATAAACTTGATTTATCTGTAGTTTGATGGCTTGTACGGTACAGTACTGAAATGAAAAGATGAACAATATTACTTTGTCATCTGTGAGTTTTTCTCTTGAACGAAACTAATGTAAGCACTATTAGCGTGTTGATTTACCGTGATGTGCGTAATGTAAGTGTTTGAAGTGTGCACTGCCTTGCAGTAGATGGTGTTCCTAGCATTCGTGCAGATTCTCAAATGTATCCCGGAACTGGTTGACTGGACTTTCCTCTCGTCTACACAATATGCTACCGGAATGGCAAAAATGTTATAACAATAGACGACGTAACTGTTACTTGCTGCCGTCTTATTAAATCTCGGAATTGTTCTGCCACATTTTCAAACTTAGTCCCTCCTTTGTGACCACTTTTGTATGAGTGGAAATAATACTTGACTATGAATACTTTTTCTTTCGTTGAGAAATCCATTTTCGACGACTGCATGATGCAACTTCCTTTTTACTACCTGGAATGTTTGCAGCTGGGGCTATGCCCCATTGACAAACACACATTAAGATGTGCAAGTTTCAGTACTGTATATTTTGGCACATACTGTATGTATATGTGCAATAGCGGCTCAGTGGTAACTTGCACCTGACATTCCAGATTTTTATGATGAGTAAAGGACACTTAAAAATGATTAAGGCTTTATTCTGTCTTGTTCTGCTCAAAAAGAATAAAATTGAAAGAGTTTTTTACTTAATAACTAATTTTTAAAAGCAAAATTAAAAAAAAATATGTAGTTTTCATTTTGAGTTGGAAAGTTTGGTTTACTGATAAATATTTTAAATTCTAAATTATATTTTACTGTGGGAGAAGATATGGATTGATGTTAAGGATAGGCATATGCATGTGCAAAAAATCCACTGCTACCAATACAAAACACAGGCATTGAAAAACTAAAATAAAGAACTAATTGCATCCAGCAGTGCCCATATACTATCAAAAAAGGGGGGGGACAAGCTATAAAAAAAGAGCATGATAGATTATGCGAGAAGCTTCAAACTTTATGATTCAACATTGTATCAGTACTGAACTACATTTGGGGCTATCTTGGCCTCAAAAACAAGAAATGTGATTTCGGTCAACATATGAAGTCGTGTGGGATAATGAACAAATATAATTCATTAGTTTCTTTTATATTTGCAGAATAGGCTAGCTAGAAGTCATGAATTTTCTGTTGTTTATTGTTGAAATTTTAGGCCCTTTGGGGATTAGGAAAAGGGTAACCCAGATGAAAAAGGGGAGGACAAATGTCTCAAGTACCCCCATTGTAGGATACACCTGATTGCATCTTTTCTCATTTCAATAAAGGACAAGGACAGCTTTGCTAAAATAAAGGATATCTAGCAACTAGAGAGCATTCCCTTGTACAAGCTATTTATAAACAAGTTTTAAAGTACATTTATGTGATTTTACTGTATTTTGCTTATTACTTTTTTTTCTTTTGAGTATATATAAAAAAGGTGAAGCCTCTGGCAGTTAGGACATCTTGCCTCCCAATTTTGACAAATTTCATTGAAGAGTCAACAAAGTCACACCACCAAAAAAAACAATATATTTACATTTTTTGGAGAAATACAACATTGTAAAAAGGGGCATGAGTGGATTGGGGAAGGAGAGATATGCTTGCTGACAAGCACTTTGTATAAATTATCAGTATCAGCCATTGAGGTAGGTCAGCAAAATCATTCCCATACCCTCTAATGGTAAATGTCTATATATCAAGTTATAAAGGTGAAATTTATAGACATTTTGATTTTTTTTTTCTAGAAACAACCAGAAAAAAGTTTAGAACATTTAATGTGGATAAAGTAGTGTAACCAAAGGACATTTTATCATATATTTCATTGGAAATAGATGCATCAGCAATGTCTGACAATACGAAATTTTCAAAAGAACACATTTGCATGCTGTTGCTCTATCACTTCAAAAGTTACAATGAATGCTTTATGATTTCATCTGCAGTGTTTGTTAAAGCATTTATAGATGAACAAAGGTCAACCAGCTGTTGTAAATGTCAAAGGCAGAACCTCCCAGTCCAGACTGGCCAACTTCTCTATGATCATCTTTGCTCTGTGTGCTGGTGTGTTCTTGTGGCAGTCTGACTTTCTTAATTTTTAGATGAAGTTCTTTGATCTTGATGATCAAACAATCCACCTATTCACAGTAAAGTTTATTCACGACTGATGGAAGCAGCTCTATTGTGATGATGTCAAACAAATAAAGAATATTGCCTTATTCAACACTATTGGGTCAATAGTGCTGAATAAGGCAATATTCTTTTTGTTTGGCATCATCACAATGGAGCTATTTCCAATCAACATCACTGTCATGAATATAGTGACTAGATTTTCTGAACTTCAACCTGAAATGCTCTAAAAATTGACAGTAGGAAATTATATGATATATGAAAACATGTCAAAACTGTTTATACTTATTAGTCTAATAAGTCCTAATTCTAGGCCAACTAATATAATAACGTTATTAGTCTGAATCAGGACAGTTAGTACTTAGTGTAGGATTCAGGTAATGACATTTTGCTTAGCCGCATCTCTACATAAGTAACATGTAATTTACTAGGATGCAATATTCTATATATAATAAGTGTTAAAGGAGATTTACTTATAAATAAAAATGGGATAATCCAGGACATTTTTCCAAGTTGGGACAAAGAGTCAAAAGCCAGGATTGTTCTGATTAATCTAGGACATTGGTCACTTTAGTCATGAAAGAACTTTATTGTGAACAGCTAGATTGTTTGAACACCAAAGAACTTCATCTAAAAAATTTCATATATGATATTGATAATTCAATACTTCAGGTTTTATATAATTAATTTCAATTTTTATATTTTCAAAAAGATTTATTTTTATTTGATTTTATTATTTAATTTTTTTAATAGAGAGGATCATCTGACTCCTTATAAATTCAGACATGGATCTCGTTTAACCTATCGAGAAATAAAAGAATGTCAACCAGTTGAACATGGTGCTGTACCCCATGAAGAATTTTTGATAGATAAAACAAGTTTTTCTGAAGAATTAGTAGTTGAAACAAAACGATTCTACAGACAATTTAATAGATCAAATCAAAATGATTTTGTCTATGGGCATTATAGTATAGTATATGATCCCCTACACACACTATCTGTATTAGAACCTAGTCATGAAGGAGGTTGTTCACATAATGTGAGAGAAACAGTGGCAAATACTGCATTGAAAAATAAATGCCTGGTTGCTGTAAATGCTGGATATTTTAACACACTTACAGGAGCATGCTTGGGTATGTAAAATTCAATTGTTTGATCTTAGATAATATACTATATTAATACAAAATTTCTTATAGCTTCTTCAAAATAATTAATTACACACAACAAACACTCTAAATCATTTATTTCAGTAGAAAACTTTGTGTCTTTTTTTTATTTAAAAAATACTATGTTGGCTAATAACATGTAATTTTATGTTATGCTCCTTATATCCGTTTTTTACTAAAGACCACGACCATAAAATCAACTTTTTTTTATAAACCTTTAAAGGGCACAAAATAAAAAAGACACAAAGCTTTCTAAGAAAAAACTGTAAGTCAAATACTTTTAGAAATCAATTTATTTCGCTGTTTAATGATTCATTGCATATGTCACATTTACTGATGTATTAACTTAATAATAACAAGCAAAATACAACAAAAACAGTTGCACTTTCAGTCTTTTGTTGAATGAGTGAACTATTTTCACTTTATTGCATAAAATTTTTATTATTTCCCTGCACTGTGCACAATATTTATTATTCATTTTCATTATATTATGGTCTACAAGGTTAAATATCAAACATACAGGACTAATTAAATGACATGTACTTAAGATATTCACTCATTGAAAAAATTATGCATCAAGGAGGCATTGAAATCAAATGGCACTTTATTAGTGCAAACATAATGATAATGGTAACAAGCACAATTTCAAAATCATAATATAGGGACAATTTCCTGTGCAACAATTGTGCAATTTAACTTTAATACTTTGTCCAAGCTCCTCTTGTCTGGATACATGCATTGATACAGTCAGGCATGAAAGAATACAAGACCATAAATGAACCTGTGATAGATTTTCCCATAGATGTTGCAACTGTGGGTCCTTCACATTTGTAGATGGCCAAAACTGATATCCCATCTGCTCCCACAAATACTCAATGGCCATAAAGCTAGAAATTGGTCAAGTCAAGAAAGTATGGCAACATGAAAGAGACATTCCTAGGAAACTAGGAATAATGCAGCCAAGCAGCATTATCTTGCTGAAAAAGGCTATTTGTAGCTCTGCCATGAAATGCATGATGACACAGTATTTCCTGAATGTACTACTGTGCCACCTATCTCCCTTGCACCACTACTAGGAGTAAGCAATAGTCATATGAGATGGCTCCCTAGATCAGCATGCCAGAAGTGGGGACAGTGTGGTACTCAACAGTACCACAAGGATTGAATTGTTTACCAGTGGTATTCTACTTCCAAACAACCAGACTTCCTTACTAAAAATGATAAGCTCCTAGTCTATAGTAGGCTTTGTTTTTTTTGTCACAGTACCATGGCAAACAAAGCCAACAATGTTAGGGTGCATATGACAGGATGCTTAAATAGTTGCTATTTGTCTCTTGTGGTTGTCTGCCAATGGTATCAGAAGATACAGAGTACTGTAGCAAGGCATAAATCTGCCTCTGGATGGTAAATAAAGCTGCCATTGCAACTGTTTGGGCTTGGCTCAAAAACAGATGATCATCTCCTGGTGATCTGTCTGAGGCATTCAGAACTTGCCCATCATGTATTTTTGCCCTGATGTATTCACTGCCCACATTTCTTCAGTCAGGTCAAAATGGCCCAGACAGCAGGCAATTTGGCAAAATGCCCATCCTGCTTTTCTCAACCTGATTATGTAGCCTTTTTTTAAACTCTTGTCAGCTGTGCACATGTGTTTAACTGCACTGTATATGCATGTCTGTGTTCAAAGATCTTGAAACAACAGGTATACTGAAAATTCTGAGCCTGTAAGCTTCTTTATAGGATACTGGAGTAGTGATTTTAAGAACTTTGTTTTTCCTTTATTACATGCTAAGTAACAAGTCATAAGAATACTGAAATTTTTATTGGACATTAAAATCAATTTATTATGAAACAAATGTGTTAAAGTAAATTTTTAAGATAAATATATACAGGGTTTTTTGTGAGGTGGTGGCAATATTTTTACAGCATGTTCTAGAGGTCTAGGATATCATAGTTCTTCAAATGCATTGTTTCAATGCTAGAAGATGTGAAAGTTCAGACTAGTTATCCTTAGGATGCTGGTCTGCAGCAATTAGCAGTTCTGTGGAAAAGCCCAAGTTTCACTTTTCTTCAATTTCTGTGCTATACTAAGGAGCCAAGGAATGCAAGCAAACTTGAAATTTTTTCAAAAACAGAAGGTTCTGAAGTCAAGAAGCTGAAGGGCAGCTAGAATGAGGCTTTTCCACAACACTTAGCAATGCTGCAGACCAATATCTTAAGAATGGCTAGTCTGAATTTTAACTCCTTCCGACAGATGGCTGGATAGCCAAGTGGTAAAGGTGGCAGCCTACCATTCTGAGGAATACGAATCAAATTTGGAATGGGTCAGAAATCCTGAAATTTTTCGGAGGTAGTCTTCTGGCTGAACTCATAATTGGCTTGCTAAAATAGGACCTCTTAGTGCCCACAGGATGGAAAGAGTTGAGAAGAAAAAACCCCTGTAGAATTAAAACATTGCATTTGAAGGACTATGTTTATAGCACATTTTTGATCCTCTATACCCGGGATGGCCAAACTCCTTGATAGTCCGAGCCATTTTTCAAAATTTGAAATTTTTCGCAAGCCGCAATTAAATACGTATTAAAAAGGTATGCAAAAAATTCCAGATTACAAATTATATCCGTAGCAAGAATGATACAAATTGTTTCCTCCAGAGCACAATGTGAACTGTCCATTGCAATGACAGTTTACAAATTCAAAATTGGTCTGGAGTCGGTTGATAATGGACGATTACGCCACTGTTTATGTTCGTTCGCTCAGTTTTCGATGAGTCATATCATTCTTAACTTGGACGGAAATGAAATTTGTTACAACGTTGCACTTAGTCTTTCATATTTGTTGTTAGTAATTTAAAAGACATTTTGAAACACATACGGAACGATAATAATTTTTTAAAATATAATAACACAAAAATGAAAAGGGAACTCGGGTACATTTATTGAGAGCCACAAATAATCCTTCAAAGAGCAGCATGTGGCTCACGAGCTGCAGGTTGGCCACCCCTGCTCTATACCTTTAGAACATGCTGTAAAAATATTGCCACTGCTTTATGGAACTTCCTGTAAATGTATGCAATTTTCTTTTCAAAGTTTTCAATAATTCATATTAATATGTAAACATTTTGGCTTGAAACCACACAAGTCTTTTCAGGCTTTTGATGAATTGATATTATATAAATTATTTCATCTTTTTGTTCATCCAGATTATTTTTGATATTATTGTTTGGTTTGGAATAAATTTTACATATTTCTAAGCTTTTTATTATGATAAAATGCACCATTTCATAATTGAAATCTAAGTCATCAGACATCACCCTGGCAATCAGTCATTATTGTTATCGAATACTTAATCTCTTTTGAACTATGTTTTGTCAGTTATCAATATTTTTCTGACCAGCTATAATTATTTATATATACAGTAGAGCCTCGAAAACTCGGCACTTGATAACCCGGCACTCCGGATAACTCGGCCACACCCTGGCAGGGCAAAAAAAATCCTTAGTTAATTTTCATTATAGACAGCTTTATGCCTCATAAAGTATTTTTTTGGGGTTTGTCTTATCAGGTAAATTACTGTACACAGTGTATTCATTAATTTTCATTTTCATGTAGTAAAGGCTCTATGCCTTCATAAAGGACGTACTCTTCCTTTGTTTAAGGGTATTTGGGCAGTTTATTCTCTGTTGTATTCTCAAGTAAACAATACATACAAATACAGTACAGTATTTTCTGAGGAAACACTCATACTTAGATTTTTTAACCCCATTCCCGATAACCCGGCATTTTCACAAACTCGGCCACCCTTCGGTCCACATTAGGCCAAGTTTTTGAGGCTCTACTGTATTTAATTTGTTCTTGCAAAACACTTGTAAATAACCTGGAAAACTTATGCTTTGATAAACTTTGGTTCATTTAGTAAATATAAATATGAAAATGTTCTTCTTTAAATGATAGTTTACAGAGCACTTAAGTTTTGAAAGAGCTTCTTCCTTTTTTAATTTTGTATATATTTTTTTTAATTGAAATATAAATTATTTAAAAAATAGATTATAATGTTTGTAATGAGAAAGCTATATAAAACCACACTGATATAGTAAAATTTTTTACCATATCAGTTATGAATCTTATGTACATTTATATTTATTAGTTATATATTAGATAAAATATTTTTATGTAATAGAAAATTCAATAATTATACTAATTATAACATATAATGCTTTACAGGTAATGTCGTCAGTGATGGAAGAAAAGTACAACATACCGGAATTCAAAATGCTCATTTTGGAATTAAAAGAAATGGCACAATTTTTGTAGGGTATGTAATAAATTAAGTAAATAGTTTATTATGTAAATAAAAACTAATGCAATATCAAACTGGATAATATAACCACAAAACCAAAATCTTTACGATTTCGATCCAGCATTTTTGGAAGAAAACAAACATTTTTGGCTAATTTAGGTTACTTTGAAACTAAATATGGCTAGTTACATTAGCCAAAAACATTTTTCAAAAAGGAAATACTGGATTGTAAAGATTTGGGTTTCCTGTGGTTATATAATTAAAAAAAAATGAAAAATATAGTTTTGTTGCTAAAATGATTGAACCTGTGTAAATATATTCAACTTTTTATGGGTTAAACCAAATAATAGGCCCAGATTCTAATGGAATTTGATTTTAATTTCTTACAGGTATGCTGTATTTCTTTACAATTCTGGAATTTTCAAAAAATTATTATTTTACATTATACATAATTATTCATTTATATTTTCTTCTATGTGGGCATTAAGAGAGTCTGTTTTCACGTGCTTGGCTAGATCCACAATGAAGTAGAAGTCAGGTAGTGAAGGATGAAGATAATGATTCAATCCAGAAATGTTATGAAAATTTTTAAGGATCTGATCCAGACTCAAATCTACACTCCACAGTGTAGAAAGCTGGCACTTCAACCATCTAGCCAATTAATTATTATTAATTTATAAAAAAAATTTTCAAATTAATTTTTTATTTTACAAATTTGCTAGTTTATAATAATAGATTAAGTAATTTGTTGACTTATAATTGTACTTAATTACAAATTTTTGATGTAGATATATTTCTGATGAAGAAATTAACAAATCAAATGAATTTTTACAACTAGTTAGCGGAATTGGTTGGATAATAAGAAATAACAAATCATTTATTAATGTTAGCAAAGGATTAGAATGTGAGAAAACAGAAGAAACAGGTAAGTAAAAAAGAAATACTGAAACTTATTTATTTATTTATTTATTTCAGTCTCTTTAAAATCAACACAAAATAGGAAAAATGATGTAAAACTAAAGAATTGATGTGTTTATTAAAAGTTACTTTCTGAAAATAGAATCTGTTTCAAAATACAATACTCAGGGATGTAACTAGAAATTTCTGAGTGTGGGTACATCTCTGATAGCTTGAATAGACACAGGATAGATAGATAGATTATGTAAAAAAGTAATACAGTAGAGTGTCAAACTCAGCACTCGGGATAACTCGGCCACACCCTGGCAGGGCAAAACAATCCTTAGTTAATTAATTTTCATGATAAAGACAGCTTTATTCCTCATAAAGTATTTTTCTGAGGTCTGTCTTATCAGGTAAATTACTGTACACAGTGTATTCATTAATTTTCATTTTCATGTAGTAAAGGCTCTATGCCTTCATAAAGGATGTACCTTTCCTTTGTTTAAGGGTATTTGGGCAGTTTATTCTCTGTTGTATTCTCAAGTAAACAATACATACAAGTACAGTACAGTATTTTCTGAGGAAACACTCATACTTATTTTTTTTTAATCCCATTCCCAATAACCCGGCATTTTCACAAACTCGGCCACCCTTCGGTCCACATTAGGCCGAGTTTTCGAGACTCTACTGTACAACCAAGTTGACTAGCAACATGTCATTGCACAAGGAATTGCCATATCAGTAAAGCAGCTCCTTACATGTAATATGCAAATCAGTAATATGTATGATAATGCTCAATAAAAAATAAATAAATGGCAGAACAAGTACAGGTATTAAATTTTATTATTTTTTACCTCAGCTATTTACGTATCCTAGTATTTGAGTCCGATGTGTGTGTTTTCTGTTTCATTCAGTGCTCAATTGCTTTGACTTTTTTGCATGTTTACTTTTAAACTTATGTGGAAACAGCAGTGGGGACTGGTAGATTGAGGGGTGGAAGAATGTTAGTGTGGGAAATGCTGTACCTTGCCACCCCATGTGGCTACATCTCTGAATACTTTAATGTAGGGGTGAGCAACCCATGGTCCCCAGGTTGCGTGTGGCCCAGGTCACACACAATATTTTTTTAAATATATAAAATAAAATTCATATTTAAAACATCAACATTGAGCAGTCTGTGGTTGTACTAAATACCAAGAGTTTGCTTTGTACATGTCCAGTAGTTTAACCTGACTTCACTCGACACTTTGTTAGAGCTGTAATATTTTTAAAATGTTTTCTATTGTTCCATTTAATTTTTTGGTTTCTTTGCAAATTATATACTATTATATTATAGATTAATAGACTATCTATTATACTATTCCTTAGCTGAGATAAGGAAATTTTTACAGTACCTTTTTCAGTAAATATAGGAAATAAATCAAATGAACTTCAATTGGAGATAATAGATTTGCAAAGTAATTTTGATTTGATAGATACTTTTCAAGAAAAAATTTGATAAATTTTTATAAAAATTTTATTTATAACATTAATTTATAATCATATATGAATAAATATTGTGTTTTACTTATATATATATTTTTCCTTTCTTTATTTTTTTCTCATGTTTGGCCCACGTCAGTTTGAAAGTTTTAAATATAGCCCTTATGTAGAAAAAGATTGCATTAAAGAAAGGATGGACATTGTTATTTTAACTTTCAAGTTGTTTCTAAACTTTTTCTAATATATCATTTGTATGAAACAAAATAGTTAAAATAATGTATTTATTTTTGGATTTAGCAATGTCTTTTTAAGGTAGAAAAAAGATTTTATAACTATCCTATTTCAGAGAACTAATTAAATTCAATTATGAAATGATAGAAAGTATACATTTATTGAGTATTTAAGAATAAAATTAAAAAAATGTTATGTTAGAATTTTGTAGAAATTGAATTGAGCAGGATTAATTTGTTGTTATATTCTTTAATTTTGTACTGTACATTATTATAATGTTTTGTTTCCCTTTATATTTACTGCTATTAGTCATCTATACTAATATTATAAAGAGGTAAAGTTTGTAAGTTTGGATGTAATAGGTAATCTCCGAAACTATTCATCCAATTTCAAAAATTCTTTCACCAATATTTAGAATGGACATTCAGGGTGGACATAGGCTGTATGTTATTCTGTTAAACATTCATATAAATTAGCAGATATCATCTAGGTAAGCATTATATTTTTGGTGTCATCAGGTGACGAGGGGCAAGACCGCGTACGTATACAAGATAGGTAACCGTGCAGTGCAGTCGTGTGGTCAGCCAGCAAGATACGCAGTGCATGTGTTTGAACTTCTATATTATATAGATGTCGAAATCCCCTCCCCCGCACAGACAAAATTAAAGCTTACCATGAAGAACTCAGCTTCTATTATACTATTTTAGATGTGGTTTTTTACATTTTTGATTGCGTTTTAATAGGGTACATCAAGAGAATGTACACTAAGAAGGAATTTTTCAAAATGCCCTCCTGCAGTGAGTGTTATACATTTATAATAGATACATTTTTAGACACAGCAATGCGTGGCTGGGTACAGCTAGTGTTTTATATGAATCTACTTGATTTAGTATAAATTAACATGTATATTATTTTATATTGCATTTATTGTATATTCATAACTTTTATTATTAATTTCTGTCCTATTATTTTGAATTTAGTTTGTGTAACTTTTATTCTCTAATTTCATTTCATTCTTTTTGTGAATATGCACAATTATCTAATATCATGCATTCTTACATTTGTCTTTATATAAATATCTTCAGTACTTTTGAAATGAAAAGGGTGCAAGGGACTTTTGACTCATCCTATATTTAAAATAGGGAGGCTTTGATCCCTCATTTCCATATAAACTACTCATAACAAAAATCTCACAATGATTTGTCAATTCTTGGTGTCACCATTTGTTTATTATTTTTTTTTTTTATGTGATAGCTTAAAATTGTCACGAATATTTATCTAAGTATTTTATATAATAGCTCAAGCTTAATAAATGTTGTTGTATTTCAGGCTCCATAGATTATTTTTTTAATGTCCTATCTGCTAGAACAGTTATAGGACATGATGATAAAGGAAGAATTATTATTGTACAAATTGATGGAAAAACAGGATTGCATGGGTATGTATTTTAGAAATACAATTAACAAGAATATTTACTTTAAAAAATATTTTTCTTGTTTTTTAATATAAAATACGAGGGCGGTTTTTTCAAGCTCTGATGGTCCATAAAACAAAGACAAGTGTAAATAACAAAATGAATTTATTACCAAAAGTTAGGTACAAATCTGGTTACTTTTCGACATAATCATTGTGAAGATTGAGGCATTTTTCATATCTGTGGACAAGCTTTTATTTTGTCATAGAATGTTGCTGCCAATGACTTGAGATGGGCCCTAATGTTGTTTTGAAGATCGTCATTAGTCTCAAACCTCTGCCCTGCTAGCCACTTTTTTTGTTCAGGAAAAAGGTGGAAGTCGCTCAGCACTAAATCAGGACTATACGCTGTGTGTTTAAAGGTGATGAAGACTTTCACCTTTCAGACTTCCACCCAGCTTGGAACTTTTTAATGTGTGAAGACTTCCACCTCTTTCCTGAACTGAAAACATGGCTAGCAGGGCAGAGGTTCGAGACTAGGGTTTCTTTCCTGGGATTCTCGCCGTTTATTCCCTACGAGAAAAATCCCGGGAAATCTCGCATTTCAATAATAATTTACCATGTCAGGTTTTCTTTCTATTATTTATTATACGAAAAGTTGCATCTTGAAGACTCACCTAAGAGAGAAATTTTGAGGTTTCTTGCTGCATATTATTACCTATGTTTTACAAGTCTCTACTTGTTAGTTCATGTAATATCTATGAATTGTGTTTGCGCATCATTGAATAGCGGAGACTTGCTGAAAGTAAATATCACTCATCGCACTTTAGTTTATTTTTTATTTCATCTTTAGAAGTAAAATAGTATTTTTTTTTCGTAATCATTAAAACTCCCAATGAAATGCTTTATTTTACTTTCATCTTATAATGTAGGAGAACATAAATTAATTGAGCCTATTGTGTCTGTATGGGTGGGATTGGCCCAGCAATTTAGTTACTTACTAGAAAATAAATTAAATTATTCAAATTTATGATCTTTTTTTATTCATATAAAATTCTATTTTACTATCTCATCCCGGAATTTCCCGGGATCCCGGAAAAAGAAATTATTTTTCCCGTAATCCCGCTGGAGGCAAATTTCCCGGGAAATGAGAAACCCTATTCGAGACTAATGGCAATCTTTAAAAAAAAACATTAGGGCCATCTCAAATCATTGGCGACAACATTCTATGGAAAAGCTCGTCCACAGGTATGACAAATGCCTCAATCTTCACAATGATTATGTCAAAAAGTAACCATGTTTGTACCTAACTTTTGGTAATAAATTCATTTTGTTATTTACACTTGTCTTTGTTTTATAGACCATCAGAGATTGAAAAAAAACAGCCTACTTAGTAATGCAAACATATGGTATGTGTGAATATTTATTTAAAATTAATTACTTTAAAAATATACAGTATTATATGAAAAATTGTTCTTACCAACTATTAGTACTTTAATACAGTATGATCTCTTTGCTGCATAATGAACTTAATTTTAGTATAAGGTCCTTGGTAGGCTAGAGCACTGAAATCCTCCAACTCCAACCAATTCAACCCTCTACCTGCACTTTAAAAATCATTTTACTTTTGTGTATGTCTCCTACTTTTAATTCTTTAACTTTAATTTAGTCTTCTAATTTTGTATGTTCTTTTAATGTGTTTTGAATTGTATAACTATCTGCTTCAGGTTCAGATTCTATACTGCAGTATTCTTTAAACTATAAATTTTATTCTCATATGTTTTACACTCAAATATCATACTATTTTGAGTTATTCTGCTATAGTTAGTACATCAAAAAAGAAAAGAAAATACCAAGCTCCTACAGACACTGATCATATCTCTTTATAATTCAACAATTTGAGTTATCAGACATAAAAATATTTATAAAAATATAAACTTTAGTCAGCACTGAATTGTTATCAATTGAACTGCAAATTTAACACATTTTGAATGATTTTGTTAAACATTTCTTTAAATGTTATTGGTATTGAATTTGATAAGACTAAATTTAGTTTTCCTGTTTTTATAAATAGGAAAATATCCTTACTTTTTTAAGGCATAATTCTTTTATTTTTTTTTTAATGGAGTAGAAAAGTTATTTTAATAAAAAAATTATAATTGTAATTTTTGTATATATAAAAAAGCAATAAATTGCTAAATTAGTTCTATTAGTTCCAAAAATTATGTCCTAAACCTTAAAAAATTTAAGAAAATTCTTAAAATGATAAGACACTTTTATGTATTGTCTAAGTGTAAGTCCTAAAAGTTGAATCTTGAAATTTTAAAGTTGATAGATGTATTATTTAATAATTATCTTTGTATAAAAACTTATATCCATTATAAATATTTGCCAATATAATAATTATTAAAATTATTTGAACTAATTATATGATTTCATTTATAAAATTTGATAAATACAGGTTATTCCGCATAAAACTGGCCTGCTCTTTATGTAAATTATTGTAATATTCATATTAGAATAAATTAGACAAAGAAACATTTTATTAAACTTTTCAAAAAATTATGGAAACTTGCTTAACTAATGCTTTGTTAGTTAAGGCAGCACAGTTTTATATGGGACATCCTGTATATTTATTAGGTAACCGAAAAAGTTTTTGCAGTTTTATGAAGTTACTTGTTTTGAATATTAATTATATAGTATTCCTTAGCTCTCTATATAAGCCTAACATCAATGAGTTCATCCAAGCCATAAACAACAACCCATGTGGACTGGTTGTGAAGTTGGACCAAACTAATGATGACAGTGCATATTTTCTTTCAATAGTAAGGGCTTTGACACTAAGATCTATTATAAACCATACTTTATTGAGGCAGAGTATTAGCGAAGCCTCTTCTATGTGGCTTACAGAATTGTGCTTGTTCTCAAAATCTGTTTGATTGATTTTGATTAAATTTTAAAAGTTTCCATTAATTGCAATGAGGAATTCAAAAATGTAATAAAAAATGGGGGTCCATGACTTCGTTTTTGAGATATAAGGCCATAGCATGAGCAATGTTACATGAATCATTCAACTTTGTCATGCAATGTGCTCCATGGTCGCTAGTACACCTTTTATGGGCTTATAGAATTGAGCTCATTCTCAAAATTTAATGGGTCAGCCATTTTAATGTAAAAATAGGAGTTTGTGACTGTCACTTTAGTACTACTGTATATCAAAAACAATGTCCATGTTCTCTGATGTAACTGAGCACACCTAATAGAATTTAGATCTAGGAGTCAGAAATAAAAATAGCATTGTGTATGCCTAATGGCAAATAGGCACAAAAAACAAACAAAACACAAGATACAGAGAAGCAATCCAAGAACAAAACAATCACCATTGATTGCTTTGTTCTTTGATTGCTTCTGTGTGTCAGCAAATGCAAGGATCGTGTCTCCCATGGCATGCCTTATACCTTACCAGCCTCTTTTGTGATGGAAAGTGTAAATTTCACCTGTCCATATCCGTTAGGTACAAGGATGGCATCTTCTACGCCTAACAGGTGTAGGGATTGCTTTTTTCTTTCTTGCTCCATTTCAATTCACGATGCAACAAAATTGCACAATATTGTATATATCGCAACCAACTTTAAATACAAAATAATGGCCTTTAGAGCCCTTACGAAAAGAGCCTATACTCATTATAGTAGAATGGGGGGGACACAAATAGCTGAGTTGCATTGCAGACATCACTACAATGCATGGCTACTCTAAAGGCTTAATCTTTAAATTAGTCCACAGGCAGAAAATAAGAACAACATAACTAAACTGCACTAACTAACAATGCACTGAGAAGTGCTCATATTGATAATGCAGCAATATAAGAATGTATTTCCCAACATAAGATTTTGACTTATGATTGTTGCATGCATACTATATATAAGGAAATTGCATTGTATGTAGGTATACAATTAACTTAGACATAATCCCACATGTTTAAGATGTTTAAGCTTCTTAGAAATGAAAAGGACCCAATCAACTCCAGCAGAGTGCCAGGGGTTTATAAGATACCTCTAAGTCTCTCTGGAATTGTTCATCTCTTAATCTATATAGATTCTACCAAGAGGTCCCTCAGAAAGCATATAATGGAGAAGAAAAACTAATAGAGGGAGGCAAACCATTGTTCTCACGATATATGCTGGTGATGATTAAATTAGACCTAATTTACAACAAGCTACATTGATTAGAATAGCAGCAAACAAGGACGAATTCAAGGTACTGGATGCCCTTGAGATTTTTAATTAAAGCAGACATACAAAGGCAGTATATAAACTTTAAAAAAGAGAAGCAGATTTCACAAGCATGGCAAGCCCTGTTTGATACATTGTTATAAAACCACTTTGACCAATAGGATGCACCCTCACATAGATGTTATAATCTTTGGTTTTAAATTTGGATTTTCTCACGAGTTTTGTATGTTCCATTTTCAAACATTGAAGCCTGTGGTATTCTATTTCTTCAAAAATTGTAACCTGAAGCAGATCTTTGACATAGACTGAAAACGTTTGTTTTTCTGGAATTTCATTAGTCTGCTGGGTGAATTTCAAAGTTAGGGAGTTTTTGTCTGTACTTCCTGAGTGACATAGGAAAAGTTCCATAACTTTCTTGGGAAATTCTATCCCTCTTGTCATTTGATGATGTTAACCAATAATTTCAAAATCAAGAATTAGAAAAGAAGTTGATTAAGGATTTTGCTTCTACAGACAAAGAACTTTATAAGAGGGAAATTTATAAACTTGTTTCTCATTGGGGAAAGTTATTAATTGTGATGGTGCTTATTTTTCAGAATAAATTACTCTTGTTTTATTTTTATAATGTTTTAATTTTGTCTTAAAAAACTGTCCAAACGTTTTTTGGTTACTTGATACATATATTTTATGATTTATTAAGCATGTTTTTTATAAAACAGTATTAATCTACCAGAGATGACTGAATTTTTAAGAGAGTTGAAAGTTGTAAATGCCATTAATTTAGATGGTGGTGGCTCATCTACATTTGTTTTAAATGGAACAGTAGTAAATTTTCCTTCAGATATTTGGTAAGTATTCGTGCATTAATTTACTTTGTTGAATAATGATATTGACTAATCTTAGATCATGGATACAAAATTTTAGAACTTAATCTATCAGGTTGTCTCACATGAAATGTTGTATTAGACTCTGCATATGCTTAATGTATCATCATAGTAACCAAATTCAAGTTTACACAATGTTGGAAACCCAGAACCTATGCATTCTGATGCTCTACAAATTTAAACTCTGACATAAAGCAGCTGCAAGGTCTTTGGTGAGGCAAATGTGACAGTTCACACTATACAACATTGATTTGAGAAGTTTGAGATTGGTGATCTGAGCCTGGAAAATGAACTTTGGAAAAAGCTGCCATTTGCTGTTTTTGACATTGCTTCAAAGCAATATCTTGAAAGCTGTCTTAAAAGTGGATCCTGTGCAAAATGTACATAAGATGACCTGGAACCTATCCATGATTTGTATGACCGTTTCCAGACACCTGCCAAAGACAGGTAAAATAAGAGAGAAAGAATGGTCAACAAGTATATGCAGTTTTCATCTGTGCTGCTTCAGAGGTTACACCCAAGAATCCTTTCATGTGAAGACCCATTTCTTATCACATGTGATGACATGTGATAAGAAATGGGTCCTCTACAACAACCAGAAGAGGTCCACCAGTTGGATTGATGTCAGTGCTGCACCATTATTACAGGTTCTTAAACCTCCCCTATAGACCAGGAAATCATGCTGACTATTTAGTGAACCATGCGTTATTTCTTCCTTCCAATTGGCACAATTATATCAGAGTATTATTGCAGTGAGATTGACGAATTGCATCAGCAGTCATGTGTGAATTAATCTTCCTTTAGTGAATTGCAATGGACATTGCTTTTGCATAATAACACAAAATTGCATACAGCAAGGCAAATGATTCAACACATCTTGGACAAAGGGCATGATGTCCTCACTCATCCAGCATATTCTCCAGACCTCTCTCCAACTGATTATTGTCTTTACATGGGATTTGAAATGTTCATTCACCAGAGGAAGTGTCCACTGCCTTTGCGATTTTATCACCAGTGAGAACAAAAACTTTTCTGCTGGGGTAATCTCTGTTATGGAATCATGCTGGCAGCAATGTATAAATACTAACAGTGCATATCTCAAATAAATTTTATGTCTAATTTTTTCTTGTACATGGTTGTATTATTTCCTTACATAAAAGGACATTTCATGTGGGACAGCCTGATAATTAAAACTGTTTTTAAAATCCAAGAAATATTTTATTTTCAACTCTTCGGAAAGATTAATTTTTTTACGCTATTTACCATTTGAATCTTCATCATTATACAGTATGACACAGTATGAAGAACAAAGCACATGTTTGTTTAATATTTCTTGGAGAATTTTCTTTTTATGTGAAATTTTCAATTTTTATTAAAATATTAATTTTTTAATATTTGAAGACAAGTTCACCCAAATAGGGATCATCATTTTTTACTTCTGCGTTCCAGACAATACATTTCTGGTGACTGACCTTCCTTTTTAGACTGTTAAACTTTTTGGCGGCTAGTAAAGTCCTCTTAAAAACACAAAGATTTTCTAAAATTGGACCTGGTGTTAAATGAACATCTTTCTTGTTACCATCTGTACCTTCTCGGGGGTGTTTCGGCCTTTTATCCACAGAGAAGTTAGTGCTGGAAAATGTAGATTAAAAGATCCCTATTTGGACGAACTTGTCTTCAAATATTAAAAAATAAAAAAAGAACCATTGGACAAAAAAATAATATATTAATGTTTGGAGATTCAGTAAATGTGTAGCATGGGAATATGGTATACCAGGATACATTTGTCATGTTAAAATCACCATAAAGCATAACAAAATTAGATCATTTTTATAGCAAGAAAGAAAATGAAAAAACATGCTAAAACTGCAATCCTGCTTGAAGTGAGGGATGTATACTATAAAAAAAAAGTTAGCTGTAAATTAGAAATTTCTATAATTGAAATGGAATCAAGATACTCAAAAATGTTATGGGCTTGAAAAGCACTAAGGTAAAGAAAAAAAATGCCATCTTCATGATAATCTTGACTGAAAAATAGAAATGGTGTCAAAATAATGTTTTTAACTTTCACTAAAATAAAAAAAAGTCATAAAAATGATTTACTAATATAGTACAACATTTATTGTTAAAGGAGCTGAAGTTTTGTAAAAATATTTTAATATTAAGTCTTAAATGGTTGCACATGGGTCATAATTGGAACACAGTGTGAACCAAGAAGTAGAGTGAGCAACTCTAATAGCATATTTTTTATATTCACTTAATTTGTCATCTGTTTTCGAGTCAATGAATTTTTTTATACATTATTTTTACATATTGTAATAAAAAGCTGCTTGTTTGGTCAAAATTCCTTGGTGCCTATTTGCTTATTCATCATTTAGGGCATAAATTAATCCTAAAAATTCCTAAAATTTTTAAAGTTATCCGGAATATGTTTCAGAATGGTTTTTTTTTATAATTTTTCTTGAATATTATCCCAGCAAAGCTTAAAGGGGCTTAGGCTAATACATTTGCTGCCATTTGATATAACCTTTCTTACAATGTGCCAATGATAAAATTTTGCAGCATCATACATACACATGTTATTTATTATCAAAAAATTCCAGTTCCATTTATCATTTGGAATTACAATAAACATTTCTATTTTATTGCTTGATTTTTAGTCTGCCAGGAAATATTTAATTATAATAGTTTTCATTAGTAGGTCCTTGATTAGGTAGCCAATGACTGAATTTGCATCATCACATAATTCCATAAAGATTGCTTGAAGGAACATTTTATTCTTGTTCTATGTAAAAGTAATGATTGTGTGTGTGTGTGTGTGTGTGTGTGTGTATATATATGTTACAGTCAAAACCCGTTTTTAGTTAGAACGCGTTTTAACTAGTTTATACTGAATGTCTTTGTTAAAACCCATTTTGTCTAGTTGAAACTAGTTTATACTGAATGTCTTTGTTAAAACCCATTTTGTCTAGTTAAAACTAGTTTTAACTCAAATTCATTTTTGACTACAGTAAATTCTAGTTTTAACTAGACAAAACCGGTTTTGTCTAGTTAAATTACAGCACTAGTTTGAGTTTAGGAGCCCTCTAATGAAAATATCATATTCTGGAGTATGTCTTTCAAATAAAAGTTTGGAGTTTATTTTAAAAAATTCTATACTGTGTTTGCAATGACGACTTTTTCACTGTCTGGCATTTTAAGCATCTCATCCCAAGTATCTGGGTGAGATGCCAAATGCCATTAGGGTAAGATAACAAATATAATTGCTTAAAATTAATTTTTGAATTTCTTAACCAAATTTAATTTATTGCATATGTAGTNGACCATTCGATGTTTTGAGAATATTTTCTAATATCGAGTTGCTGAGGCTGGAATTGGAAATCTAATACAATTCTTCTAATATCTTCTTTTTTAGACGAAGAGCTTTCTTGAAGATTTGTCATATGAGAATAAACGAATGCTTTTACTAAAAAAGAAAATTGATGTTTATTTTTTATTTCACAATTAATTCGAATTCAAGAAATATTTTATTCGTACTTTGATTGAGCCTTTCTGAGTCATAAATTTGTTTAATCCTTCTCACAACTTCTCTGTCTGCACATTTCATTGCTCCTAGATAAGCAGTAATACGCACTTCAACATGTTCATCACGATGTGAGAAAATGTTTAATAACTGTTGTTTAACCTCTTCTTTGCATGGTGTTCGTCGGAATGCTTCTATTGCTGCTAATCGAATGGTAATTTCATTGGATGGTTCTTTGGCACATTCTAAGATTTGTCTGCTAGCTCCTCCAACTCTTCCTAAATTTCCAAAACTTTTCAAAGCTGCGATTACCTATCAAGAAAAAACTACATTATTTATTCAAGAAACTTTTAATGATTAATTTAGAAAAGTTCAGATGGCGTATTTATTGAAATCATGAGAATATTAACTTGTAATTTTTGAGATAAAAAACTTAGTATTTGCATATGATTTATATAAATATCTATATTTAATATTGTTATTAATCAGTATATTACCTGTTTTATTTCTGCTGGTTGATAAACATTGCATCTATAATTCAAGTATCTTTTTAAAGATGTTATTACTTGCTGAATAGCTTCTGATTGTTCACAGTTTGTATTTTTCATGCAATAATTATGAGACATTGCAGTAATCGCTAGAAGTGCTTGTTTTCCAGCTTTTTCGTAATCCAGCAATGGCTAATTTAAGCATTTAAAGATTCGTATTGAATATTTTATTATTTGTATCATATTTTATTTAGAATTAATAATACTTACTTACCACTACAGATAAAATAGCATCTTCGGTGGGATATTGAATGAAAGCCAAACTAGTAACCCAAAATGTTGTTTGAATTTTACTAACAGTGCCATTTTGAATCTTCTTCGCGATTACTTTGATAGAGCCTTCGTGACCAATATGAGGTAATGCATCATTGAGTAAACTTCTGAAAAAATATACGAACATGTTACACTTATACTAAATATCTTAATTTAAAATAATTTTATATTAACTTCAGCCACAATGATTGGCATTTTTCTTCTCTGTCTATTTTGTCATAAATATCTTGTAGTTCTCCAGGTTGTACATATATATATATATATATATATATATATAGATTTTATTAAAATTTTATAGAATCAATAAATTATTTGTTATTAAGTTACCATAATAATTTTATTGTTTTTTCTTTTCTAATCAGTCCAGATAATTTCTCTCTTTGCTCTCGTGAAGTTAGTACTATTGTTTGTATTCATGAACCTTATTGCGATCCTACTGATTGCAATAACAATGGAAAATGCATAAAAGGAAAATGTTATTGCAATGGACATTGGCAACCACCAAAATGCGATTATTTATTTTGTGAACAAAACTGTTCTCATCAAGGAAACTGCACAGAAAATGGTTGCAAATGTTATAGTGGTTGGATGGGAGAAAGTTGTAATGAAAGTATGTATTATTTTTTTTTATTCTTTTAATGTTTATTTAAATAAAGAATTTTTTCTATTGTAATTAGAATGTCCCGAAAGAAGATTTGGAGAAAACTGTCAACAACATTGTATGTGTTTTAACAACAGTACTTGTAACCCAATTAATGGAAACTGTATTTGTAAGCCAGGTTTTAGAGGGAAATTTTGTGAACAAGGTACAGTAAAATCTCATTAATAATTTTAAAAAAGTATTTACCAATAGAAGACAATACAAAAACTTTGTCGAACGAACACAAAGATGTTAAAGTCACATAGCAAAAGTCAAAATTAAAACATTTTTCTGGTGATTCATTCCATATTTCAATGTTTAAAATTTTTATTTATAATAATAATTTTTAAATTAACATATAGTGTAAACAATTAAATATACATTCCAAACTGCTTGAAGAAGTCAGTTCTATTCAGTGTTTTAGGATTCATAAATGTTTACAAAAATTATATAAAACAATATAACTGAAAAATTAACAACTTTATTAACATACAAAAATGTTAGTAAGGTTTAAAGATTTTTCTAAGAATCTTAAAAATACATTATGTACTTGATTAACTTTCAGTATGGAATGAAAAAATAATGAGAATAATATTGTTTCTACTTCTTCCTTTTATAAATATGTGGGCATGGGTTGTATCATTCGATTTTACTACTAAACGTTTAGAATAGCTATTTTTTTGATGCATTATAATATTTCATTATTTTACTACATTATAAGTTACAACATATCACTTATATTTGTAAATAGTATTCATAAAATATTCATTGATTTAAAGTTTTCAAAGTATACATAGAAACATAGAATAGTATGTTTAGTATAGCTAATACAAAAAAGGCATAATTACTCTCACTAAGAATTATTCTGTATACACATGCAATATGCACACACACAGAGAATAAATTTCTACTCTCAATAATTATTGTTTAAATAAAAAAATAAACTTAGAAATTGATTAATTTAATAATTAATTTATTCTTAAAACAAAGTAAATTTTTCTTTTGTTTATGATTTTTCTAAATACAAATAAACAGTTTTAATTTCTAAATTTTATTAAATATTTCAGAGTGCCCATATACATTTTATGGTCAAGATTGTTCTGAACAATGTTTTTGTGAAGAATCCTGTGATTGTGATAAAATCACAGGAAAATGCAGAAGTATCTGGAATTCAAGTTTATCACAAAGTAATTATAAAAAGTTTACATATTTCATAGTTTACACATCATTCCAGTTAAGTTCTTCCAATGAAAATAAAAGTAAAATTATAAATAATAATTTTTAACATTGTAGTTATACAACATAATCTAATAATAATAAAATGTTTACGTTATAAATATTAAACAATCTAAACTTATATAAATTATAATTATTTTTACTAATAAAATATTTCTGATAATTGGAATTTCCAGTTTTATCAGTAGCACAAATGATCTGCTGTATGTATTATCAGGCTAAATTATTAGTTAGATGTAATTTGACTAGAGGTAGGCAGAGAGGCCACCATCTCATGGTGATTTTAATAATTATAATAAGTTAATTTTTAATTAAGAATTGGTCCAGAGTGAGAATCAAACCTACAACTCCTACAAACTGTGCAGATGCATTTCCAATTACACTACTTTGAATTCTGTCTAATCTTCATTTCTAGAGCTGTTAATTTAGATATAACTGTACTGGTTATTCATAACAATGTTTATGGAGATATTACTTTCACTTTGGCATGGTTTCTTATATATATATATATATCTGGCTAAGAACTATTGTTCCCAGTTGGTGCTATGAGTTACTAGTATGGTTATGTCTAAGTAGTATAATTGGCAATATATCTGCACAATATGCTGGAGTTGTGGGTTCAAAAAGGGAATCATTATCAGTTAAGTAATAAATCTGTCAGATATATTACAATCATGAATATATAAAAATTTTTGATATTAATATTTGAAACTGGTAATGAAGAAACTACAGTCAAACCTCAGGTTTCAAATGGTTCACAACTTTCAAGCAAATCAGCTCACAAACAGAATTTTGAACTCATAACTGCACTGGTTGCAGAACAAGCTACTCTGCAAGAGCTAGCCACAGATTGGAGAGAGACAAATGGTCAACTCTCTATACTTCCTGTGTTAAAGAAAGTCAATGGCCCACCTAACTACCAATTCAGAAGTTAGTGGCACTGAGGTCACCTCACATAATTAAACATCACAACACAAATCATCAAAGATGTTGCTATTTAAATTAATTTCAATGCACATGCGGGAAGGATACTTCATCTGTTTTTCGGTATGTGCTGCAGTTGAATTTAAATCAAATTAATTAATAAACACTGCATTAATTGACATTCACGTAATATAAATGGCATCCAAGAATTCATGTTTACAGGTTAGGATGAATGAAGTTTTCTTTCTTATTTACAACTTTAATCTTTATTCAGTTGGTATGTTAAAATATAACATTACATTTGTAGGCATTTTTATTCATGAAATACAGCTAAAATTGTAAAAAATAAGGGCTTTATTTTGGGGGTCAGGAATGAATTATGTTTTAAAACTTTTTCTTTTAATGAATAGAAAGACTACATAACATACATTTATCATTACCATACTTATCAAATGAATATGGCAAAAATATTTTATTATGAATATTTTTCTTACCTTAAATAATTCTGGACCTTTTTTATCCAGAGAAATAAACTTTTTACATTACTCAATTGTATATCAAATTCAAAAAATCTTTCATATAGAGTCTGTATATCATAAGAAATACTAACCATAATGAATATAATTTTTATGGTATTGAATATTCTTTACAGGTACTTGATACAAGGAATAATTCAAAAATACTGAGACTGAATCATTTCTGAATTACTACAAACTTCCATCATCACAAATTTGAAATTTAAAAATTGTATAGAAATTTGCTGTCTCATTGAAACTGTTCTAAAAGCTTTCTTATTATCTTAACTTTCTATTTGTTTTGTCCTAAGATTTTCAGTTATGAATTTTAAAAAATTCATCACAAAATTAATACACAAATATATTTTAAAATATAGTGTTATTATAATTGGCTCTAAATTCTCTTTTTCAAAGTTAACATGTAACTCTGTGCAGATTACAATTCTTTGCTGTCAAGATAAAATATCATCTTGACGGCATAGACAATGTTTACATGATGAATCTGTTTATGCTGAGCAGATTCACCATATAAACATTGCACAAATTACAGTTCAATAAATGAATTTTGATTGAATAGATAGATTATCCAAAATTAGTAAATCGAAAATACGCAACTTTTTCTGTTTACTGAGATTGAGAAACAATTTACAATGTAAATAAAAAAAATAATTGATTGAAGTTAAAATTATTTTCAGCAATGCATAAAATTCAGTATATCTTCAGTAAATTATTCATTTGTCAGAGATGCAATCTCATTATTTCTGGAATACTCCTTCCATTTGATATATTTTCTAAATTCAAAAATCAAATATTTAAAATAAATTAAAGTAATAAAGTTATTTCTCTATTTTTTAATAGATCAATGCATAATAAAGAACATCTTAAGAAATCAAAAATTAATTGAAAATAATCAAAATCAAAGGTAATCGTTTTGATTTAATATAAAGCAATTAAAATGATCCTTTAATATAGGAAAGATTATAATAGAATTAAAATGATTTTTCTCTCAGATATTTAATTATTATAATTGGAAGTTTGGCTGCATTTACAATTATCAGTCTTCTTGCAAATATTGTCTTGCTTTGGTGCTCGTGTACTTGTTCCTGTCAATCTATTGTACCTCTTTGCAACAGGAAACGTTCCAATAAAAAAAACAGACTTTATAGAATTGCTGCGGATATTAGCTCGGAAGACGAGGAGCTACCCATGACCGTGCATTCTTCGAGAACAAATTTAAATTAATTGTTACTATTAAAATACTTGTACAAAATATTTTTTATATCAAGAAATGAAAATAATTTTATTATTATATTTTTTTATACAAAAATAGGAAAGTTGAATGTAGTAATATGATTTTAGATAATTTTAATATATTATTCCAACATATTCACTGCTTTATGATGATTTATATACTTCAGAATAATAATGCAACCTTTAATAGTATACAAAACTGTTTTTCTCTTTACATTTTTATATTTAAAAGATCTTAACACACCGACAGCCAACTGTGAATTAATAACATGGCACAATATGGATTGTGTATGACGATTCAGTTAAACAATATTTTATTAAGTGATGAAGTAGTATTCTTTCTGTTATCATATTGAGATCTTCAAAAGATAGCTTAATTCATTATAAAGCAGTGTGTGTGTTAAATCTAAATAAAATTATTCTAGTCATACTTATCATAAAAGTAACTGTAATCAAGTAAGAAATAATTAGTCATATTAATGTACATAGTTAAAAAGAAAAATAAATTTATTTAAATCTGGTATATTTTTCTATGAATTTTACACTTAGAAACTGATTTTAAATCAATTTCTTTCTTATAAATAAACCCAAATTAAACAATCCAGAACAAGGTAGCTTTATAATTCAGCAATCACTTTTTAAAACCTTAAGTGAGCTTGCAGTTGTAAAAAGATAAAACAATGCAATCTGATCCTTGTTTTTTTATTTATTGTTAACAGTTAAATATTTAAGAATTCTAACTTATGAGTAACTTTAACAATCTTTAAAAATCAACTTTCCGTAACCTTTAGTTGGAACTGCCATATTTAAACAAGAAAATCAAATATACTATGTAAATAACGATTAATACAAAAACATTTGTTATCCACCAGTAATGCTTGTTGTTATAAAAAATTTACTGTCAGATAACAAAAATCTTTGTAATTTTGTTATTTATCTAGCATGTTTGACTTTCTTCTTTAAATGATTTACATTTAAATTCCTTTACTTTTTTTAGTGTTTTTCATTTAAAAAAAAAAAAGCTTCAATAACTTATGTATATATTTAGAATCTTAAAATATTAAGCTTTCACTTGGAAAATTATTAAAATTTCAGCAGTGTTAACGATAAATTTTAATGACATATTTGACAGAGGTGAATTAAACCAATACATGAAGAAAATCTAAATCAGTAATGTTCTCTTGTTATATATAAAATGTATTTCTGAGAAACTATGTTTAAAGTACAAAACCTATTCTAAATAATGTTATTATTAATAAAACTCATCAAAAATATTAAACTGTATTCAGATGTTGCATCAAGCATAGTATCTTGAGAAAGATAATCTGATAATGGGTTTGCTGTGTAGAAAATTAAGCTTATTAAATCCTATTTTTAAGCATGACAGATCTTTTTCTACACCTTTATTATAGTATAAGGCAGAAAATTCTTAATTCAGACAAGTATTTAAAATTTCTGTTTTGTAAATAAACATTGGTAAATCTATTCCTTGATTTCAATGTTTAAACTTACCTAACAATTTTTATAGACTGTCTGGTTTGTCTATACTAGTATCTACCAAATAGTATATGATTTGTTTGTAGCAATCAAAATAGACAATAACATAAAACACACAAATTTTTGTATATTTGCTAATAATTAAAGGAGGGTACAGCTGAAAAAAGTTGCACTCTTTTTTCTAGATTTCTTTCTACCGATAATAGATCGAGGGAAGAAAGTATTATAAGTCATCAGAAATGGTCGGCAGGAGTGCTGCAAACAGATGATCAGGATACCTATGTTCCCTACAGAGCCACCATATTGGGTCCTTATTTCCAAGGTCACAGTAACTAAGTGCAAAAGAACTAAGAACATTCAATCTATACTATGCAAAGGAACTAAAGGAATGTGCAGTTCACTGCACGTTCCTTTGAGTTCAAGTCATGGAATTTCTTTTATAATTTCAAATAGAGCATCTTTTCATTTACAGGTAACTCTGACGTAAAATTAAAGGCTTTAACTATACGTCAGAAACTAAATAGGTTTCAAAATAAAAAGCTATCAATGGTTCATATGTACAGTACAAGGACAAATGCAAAATTAAAGAAAAAATTTGGAGATACTTGTTAAAATAAGAATATATTCACATGCATTTTTATACATTTTCTTTTCTCTTCTTCTAATTTTAATTTATAAAGTTTGTGAGAATGGTTATGTAAAATAAATCTTCAAAAGTATTTGCAAGAGATAATAGATGGTTCCTACATGAGGGAAGTTATGCATATAAACTAAATTTAATTATTTTTATAGAGCATTTAATAAATTTTTATAAATATACTTTATTTAACAGTAGACAATATCAACAAATAAACCATAAATACAGTTGATCTTTCTATTCTATGTGACTGCAATTACAGATATGTTTTAGCAGGAAAATTAATCAAGATCCGATTGAGGTAAGCATATAAGCTAAATTAAAGAATCTGCATCAATTGGATTTTTTTTTTTGTGGTACAATTTGTCAAGCTGATGGGGGAAATGATCATCCAGCAGTATAACATTTATATACTTGTACCAACTGCTGATAATTTACTATCAATGTAAACATCTCACTAAACCCAATACAATGCAATAACACATCTACAACTGCCATATGTCATCGGGCTTTAATTTAACTCTGATAAAACCACCCACGTATGGAAATTGCACCATTAATGAACATAATCAATTTTGGATTTGATAGATTTCAGCCTTTGATAACAGAAATCTCAAGCTCAATAAAATCAACTCGCATTAATAGCATTAGAAAAGCTAGACAGTCTTTTAATTCATACTTAATGCTGTTTTGAACGCAATTACAGCAAAACAGGAGTCTGAGACTGCATTATTTACTATGTCTGTGCTTTTTATCTAGACCATTTTCTAAAGAAAACTCTGTCATAATTCATTATTATATTCTATCGAGAATGCAAAAGAAAAACTTTCAAAGATGCTTTCTGTAGTAAATTTTTATTGTATTACAATTATAAATGAATAAATAATTTAAAACAAAAAATGTCTAATCTCTATCTTTTCTTCCAAAATTCGCATTTACTTTATAATATAGTAAAACCAAACGAGCAATTAGTCATTGTGACATAGTCACTATACTGGGCTGCAATTTTTAATCTTGTTTTTAATTTATTTAATTTAAAATATATGCTCTCCACTTCAAATCAGTAGTGTCTTGCCCCTGTACATCATACTTTTCCCGTTAGTTGGATAACCCGCATTGCTAACACTTTTCGGGGGAAATTTTTCAATTGAAATAACATGACTTCTGTTTGCACCGGAAGTACTGTACATATATAGTTAATAGATATTGAAACCTTAGGGGCAGGAGGCTCCAATTAACTACAAACGAAACTTCCAGTTTGCACCGGAAGACACATTATTTCGATTCAAAAATTTCCTCTGAAAGGTGTTAGATAGATGACCAGCATGACTCTATTGTTAAAGGAAAAGTATGATGTACAGGGGCAAGCCACTACTACTAATTTGAGGTGGAGAGCGTATATTTTAGTAAGCGCAAGTAATAAACACAAAAGTAATTAATGATTTTTAATATTTATATATCATAGACATAGAATAATTTTGAAACTTTATTAACAATATTTAAACAGAATTTTTATTTCTTTATCGATTTTTTTCCACCTTGACGATAAAAAATGCCTTTAAGCCGCTGCTCTACATTCTCTGGAATATTTTCTACGTCTTGAGATGCAATTGAATAAGAAGATTTAAAAATTTGTTTGGTTGCCAAATTGGTTTCCCGAAATATATCGTCATCCTTTTGTTGCAAATAAGTAATTTCTTCCATTTCGTTGAATCCACTAATAGTGCAAACTTTTCCCGTTGTTTCATCGCTGCAGACAAATGCTTTAGATAATTTCAATGTTTCTTGCACTCTTTCTTCTTCGGTAAAGTTGCATTTTTCATCAAATGAATATTTTAATTGTGAAATATCAGTTTCTTCTTCTTTATTTTCTGCAACCATTGCACGTAATTCAGCGATGAATTCGAATACGCTCTTGATTTTCTTCTCCCAAACGGATCTATTCTCTTCTTCTTGGTAACTTTGATCGTTTATTTCTTTCAGTGTTTCATTTTTATCTTTTTCTATCTCTGCTTCTGTTAACTTTTTTAATTTACCCAATTGTTTTCCAACTTTAACAACATCTTGTTTGTCAACGTCTAATAACTTCAAGAGTCTCTTCAGCTCTGAAAAATTTGCACCGTTTTCGTTTTCCAATTTGATTTTTATTTCTAAGTTTCCTTTAACGTTGCCGAAATTTCGGTAAATTTCTTTTAAATCATTTTCTAATTCCGAAATAAGATCGGCGAAACTTTTCGATTTCGATTGCAAGACATTTAGAACGGCATCGAGTTGTTCTTTATATTTCTTCATGGCTTCCAAACTACATTTGATACTCTTTGATAAATGATGTTGATCGGAAAGTAAAGAATATAATTCATTAACGTGTTTGAATTTCTCTTCTAATAAAAATTTTGCTTTTTCTATTAACAAATTAAGTTTATCGATTGTTTTTAATGACGAACCCAATTTTCTCAGAAGATGTTTGTGGGCATTTTGAGCATCTTCCATAAAAGTATCGACTAATTTCTCTAATGCATTATTCTCACTTATCATTGTGTCTGCTTCGTGTGAGAAATTATTTTCTAAATCGAAATATTTACGAAATTCTTTATCGATCGCTTCTTTTACAGTTTGAAGTTTATTTATCGAGTTCATATGATCATTATTTAAATCTTTAAGTTTAATTCGTATAGAATCGATCGATGATTTATATTCTTGTACTTGTTGTTTCGTCGGATAGTGATTCAATTCGTCTTTTAAATGCTCAGAGATTGATTGTAACTTCTTTATATTAGTTTTTAAATATTTTCTTTCCGCCATTAATTTTCTTAAATGTTTTAAGTGCATTTCGCATTCATTCGTATATTTTACTGAATTTTGTTTCTTTACTTTTAGCCATTCCCGAATCATCATCAATTGCTTCTGAGAAAATTGGGTTATTTTAAGAGCTTCTACAAATTCATAAAGCTTGTTGCTGTCTACTTTTAATTCTTCGTCTGGTGTAAAATACATCTGGAACCCTATCAAATCGCTTTCGCTAATGTTATGATCGTCAATCAACGAATCTAATCCACCAGAAATGCTTTCGATCGTTGTTACAAATTTACTATCTTTTAATAATTTAACTGTGCCGTAATCATCCTCGACATCGTATAACTTATCCCAATCAAATTTTACAGATTTATAATTTTGTTTTGGAGGTAAATCCTTTGTTAAACTGCTTCTAAAACTGCTGTCGTCTTCGTTCTCTACGGATGAAAACGATGATTGATGGAGATCAACACGCGAAGATTTATCGATCTGTTGAAAATTTTCATTCTGTGGGCGCCTTACGTTGAATTCGAAGAAGTAATCGGGAGATTCGTATTTCGGCAACGTCGAAGAAATCGTTAAATCTATTTCTGATTGATTATTTAAATTTGCATTTGATAAAGATAATGAATATTGTTCTTTAAATACGTTGCTTGTACTTTTGGGAAGTGCTGACTCTTGAGGAATGGTTGGATCAAAACTTTCAACTTTAATATTTTCATCTGTTTCGTCCGTGTTAATTCCATATGTATATCTTTTATTCGGGACTTGAGGTTCACTTATTGAATCTAAAGGAAATTCAATAAGAGATTTATTTTTAAGCGGTATCTCTGGAGAAGAAGCGAATGTATTTTGAAATCTAGGAGGTTTATTTTGAAAAGAAAGTAATGAAGCAGACTTATTTCGTATTAAATTTTCTTGAAAAAGCCCGCTACTTTCGTCTGATTTTTCAGTATGATAATTCTGCAGCGAAATGTGTGAAGCATTTTCTAATAAATTACGAATTCGTCTATCATCTGTTAATTCTTTAGCCGATAAATTTTGTAAATCCTTTTTAGACGGATCAGCATTATGTTTTACCAATAAAACCACAAATTCGAAGTCGTTGTTTTTGCTTGCTAACATTAAAGATGTCCTTCTCTTTGAATCGACAGCATCAACGTCTGCACCCTTCGAAATTAATTTTTCTGCAATTTTTATTTCTTTCTTTTCGGTTAATAAATGTAGAGCCGTTTTACCATCCTCACCGGCTAAATTAATATCTCGTGTATAATCGAGAATAATATCTGCTAATCCGTATTGTCCGATTTTTATAGATAAAAGCAACGCATTATCACGATTATTATCTTGCAAATCGGCATCAGTACCCGCTTCCAGTAATATCTTAGTTATATTTTGATAACCTCTTTCAATAGCAATCATTAATGCAGTCCTACCCATAGCATCTCGAGCATTTATGTTAATGCCACTATTTAACATTTGGTAGATTGCATATTCCTTTCCTTCAGAGGCAGCTTTGTGCAGAGGTGTTGAGATTTGTCCACTGTTATCTTGGCTGTTAAATTTACGTGAATAGAAATCATTTCGATTTTCGTCCATGTCTGGTTTCGAAATTTTCCAAATCAAATCTATATTTATTATTATCTCGTGCTCTTATTCTTTGTTTTCTCCTTCGAAATTAGCTGAATTAAGATTCCTAAATCTTTAAAACGCCCACGAGTTTTACTGTAATTAGATAATCAGTAGACAATCTTATGGATTTAATATTGTCAACTTTCCGCTTCTTCTATATTATTTCCAGGTAGCAATTGTTAGATAACAATGAGTGAATAAAGAACGAGCAATTATTTATTGTGATATCGTCACAATTTTTAATTATTCAACTTAAAATATGCGCTCACCGTCTCAAATTAGTAGTGTCTCGCCCCTATACATTATACTTTTCCTTTAACAATAGAATTGTGCCAGTCATATAACTAACGTTTAACCTTGCGGGAAAAATTTTTTGAAATGAAATAACGTACAGTCGACCCCCCATAACACTGTTGATAATTCCGTTTTATATGAATTCCATGTTGTACGAGTCACTTAGATTTTACAAATACGTGTGCCGGGCTGTGAACGGATCATGGATTTGTAAAATCTAAGTGACTCGTACAACATGGAATTCATATAAAACGGAATTATCAACAGTGTTATAGGGGGGGTCGACTGTAATGAGATCATCAGTGGCTGTTTTTTTAACGCAATCACAGTCATACGCAACACCCGCAATAAAAATAGAGGGAAACTTTCTCCCAAGCCAGATTGCATTAAAAATTGCAATGCACTGTACGTTACCTCAAACGGTTACAGGTAATTGTGCAACTTTGATAAAGATGCACCGTGTACCTTTACGTTTATTAAAACACTAATACCGCCATATTGAAATTTAATATAGACCTATATAATTTAACGCTGTTGTATCGGAATTAGTGGCATTTAAACCAATTAATTTTACTATTAGCATCGGGGGGTATCAACCTTGATGAGGTGACGTAGTACAAAAAATCATGGCATCCCTGATGGTTTTTTTTTCCTTTTCTTTAATTGGATTGATGGTTTAAGGCAATGTAACTGCCAGGAGGGATGCTTCTCGAGAGGACTTTTTAGAGGATATGTCGGTCTGGTCGCGTGGAAAAAAAGGCCCTCTTAGTGTAGGGAGAAAAGAGCTTATCACAATAAACGACACAAGTCACAAACAAAACGTTAAAATATAAAATCAAACTTCTAAATTATTATACTTATAATCTATCCAGAAAAACAAAAAAGTACCTTTTAAAGAGAAGAAATCTTGGTATAAACAATCATTCGACTTCGGATAGATCTCCCTTGGAAACTGTCAAGTGAACGCACAAATACAAGTCAGATGTTAGCTCCGTCTAATCGGGAAATAAAAGTTTACGTCATTCACGTATAAAAACGAAACAATTTATAACAAGGAATTCTCATTACCTGGAATGCTTTCAAATAACTTTTTAGTCAAAACTCCAAACCAAATGTCTTCTGTAGCAAATCTAATACAAATTTACACTCGGCCAATAAATAAATGAGATAGATAAGGTCGCGTGTCGGATTTAATGACGATTTTATATATTTCCCACGGAAAAATGAGTCAGTTAGTTTAATAATACCGTAAATTTTGTAGAATCGAAGAAAGTGTGATCCGAAAATGATTTAAAAATAATATATTAATCCTATTTTTAATTTATTTAATTTAAAATATATGTTCTCCTCCTCAAATTAGTAGTGTCTTGCTCCTGTACGTCTACATTTCTGTTAGCAATAGAGTAGTGCCAATCATCTAACTCCTTTCAGAGGAAAATATTTTAATTGAAATAACGTGATTCCGGTGAAAACCGGCGTGGCCTCCTGCCCCTAATCTTAATCTATCCCATATCTTCATCTATTTAACACCGTTCTCAAGATTAAGCGGGTACAATTGACAAAAATGCGTAACTTGAATGCATTAGTGATTAAATTTAACATTAATTTACTAAAATTTTATTTAATTGGTTAAAAAAAAATCATTAGATATATTAAACGTATTATATTTTTAAATTAATACAGTGAAACCTGTCTTTTCCGGTACCGTAAGAGTCCGGTTTACACAGGTTTTACTGTACTTTTCCGTATTTTTAACGAAGAAGAATGTTTTATCACTTACACCACTTTCCCATTCATCCCTTCAATTGGCTTACTTTGTTAGCAAATTTTTATTGTATTAACTATTTTTTATTAATCCACTTCTTATTGATGAAAAAGAAAACTAAACAAGAACAATAAACTATATTAATGAATTAAAAAAACATAATTAATTCTCATTCAAATGCACTTTTCTAGGAAAGTACATTAACAATTATAAATGTATTCCTCAAAATCCTTAAAATTTTTGTTTGTTAATTCACTGTCTTTATAGGTTTCCATTGTTTCCTGCTACACCGTGAATAACATGGTAGTCAACAACAGATCAAAATCTCAATGTAACTTTCATTATCTTAATGATAGAAATATTTATAGAAGACCATCTTCAAAATAAACATCTTTTACAGCTTTTTCAATGTTCTTATCACTTATCAAAATAGTCTTATATCATTCTGCATTAGTTTCTTTGGTACAATTGTCACAGTACTTTAACACATCTTTGGCCCACCAGTGGCCGAGTGGCTAAAACCACTGAATATTGGTAGTTATTTGTGGGTTTTCACTTTGCCACATTGAGTTTTTCAAGTTTTCTTCACATATTTAAAATCTTGATAGGGCAGTTTCCAATAGATAGTTCTTTCAAAAGACACCCAATTGGCATATCATCTAAGTGTTGTGTTGTCTTGTTCCATCAATCCAATCTTTCTCATCTCTTCTGCCGATTTGAATCTGTGACTCTTCAGTAAAGTTTATATTTGGTGACTACATGCAGATTGGGCGAGTAAGGAGTCTTTTGAAGCGCAGATATCTGTTGTTTTGGCAGATACGATGCCTTTTCATCTTACTGCATCGCAGAGGTGATCAAAAATGTCAATGTAGGACTTTTTGTAAACATGTCTACTGTCAGAAACAAACTAATACCTATTGCCTTTATTTTGACAATCCTTTGAATCTGTCCAAAATAAATAACTTTTTTCTGACTTGATGGAGGAAGATATGTTAACTTCCTAGGAGCAAACAATGTGATAACAGATGAAATGAATTTTCAAGTTATGAGAAACTTCCAAAATGTCAGCCTGAGCATTGATTGTTTTCAGTCTCTCTTGATCTCTTCACAAACTTGGAAATCATTTTTTGCTAAAGTTAACCTACCTGGATGAAGATTATCCTCTGTTGATTCACAGCCTTTTTTAATTAAAGTGCTTGTCTAATTTATATACTTTTTGTACAGTATGTTTTGTGGTATCATCATATGATTCTTTAAGTAAATTAAATATTTAAGTAACATTTTTTCCAAATCTGATGCAAAATTTTGTGTTGATTTACTGCTTTTGATATATCATTTCACAGCTCTGATGGAACATACTTAAATACTTGAACATTCCAAATGCGATCATCAACTGTGAACTGAACAAGTACCGATATGACTTAGAAAATGTTCAAATGCATGCATGTGAATAATTATGGCTATTAATATTATGTACTTCAGAAAAATCTTTGAAGAATGCAGGAAAATCTTTTAATAAATTTAATTAAAATAGAGAACAAAGTTGTGCATGTATGAAATATAAATATGTGGTAAGTGTAATGTTTGTTTTTTTTTCCTTTTCATAAAAATTTACTTTTTGGTCTTATAACTCTGAATTGCATTTCAAAATCAAAGATATCTTTTCAGGAGTTACATTAAATGTAATATAATTTTGCTTTTACTGCATTAAAATGTCGGAAAACTAAAAATAAATAAATAAAAACCTGGAAAAATCTGGAAATTTAAGAGTTGAATAAAAAAAATAATATTTTTTGGCAATTTATTTTTTCCATTAGAAATATAGATGCCAGTATCCATTACACTTTAATTCAATTAAGAATTCTGCTTAATCAATAGCAAACAAAGATCCCTGTAAACTTCAGACCACCATTCTATCAGAATTCATTGCATCGTATATAAGCATCATCATAAAATTTAATCCAGTGTAAACTCACTCCCATCAGTTACACACACAATAACAAATAGCACACAATCTACAGATCAGTGAGTTGAGTCACTGATAATGCACCATCATCACTATGTATATAATAAATTTGTTATAAATAACCCAATGAGTTGAAATGTAATTATATAATCTGTAGATAAATGATGATAATCAAATAAGAATAAGAGTTATTGTCTCATATATTGTAAATGCAATTGCAGTCTTTATTTTAGACAAGACTGTCATTAGATTACACAAGGTATCCCCTAAGTCATATGCCGCCATAGACAAACTGTAATGTAATGGGGTTTGTGACAGTCCCCACAGTACTGGCTCGACAGTAACAAAATTGATTTTTGTCTCAGTAACATGCACTGAGACAACTGATTTTTGTCACCTCCCTGCTTCCAGAACAGTTGCCAATAGCATTGGCAACTCTGTACAAACTATTTATAAACAATTTTAAAGTACATTTATGGGTCTTCACTGTATTCGACTTTATTTTTTATTCATTTTCCTCCTTTTCAACATTTTTAATCTCATATTTTGCTACTGCTCTCATTTTGCAATTTGAAATCTCATTGCCTCACCCATCAAGCTGGCCTATTCCTCAGGTAATGGATTGGTCATTAAGGATCTGGAATGGCCACCATGTAGTCTCGACTCCATCACTGCTGGGGTACTTGAAGGATCTGATTTACTCATCTGAAGGACAGAATCACACAGACATGTCACTCTGTGTGATTCTGCCAACACGCAAGGTGTATGGAATGATCGGGTCATCTGTATAAACATATTTGCAATTAGGACTGCAATCACAACAAACATATTTGAACAGCTTTTCTGCTTACGGTGCATGACTTATGGGACATCCTGTATAATAAAAGACATGCAGAAATAATATTTCATCTAAGAAGCCATTTGCAGATATACAGATCCAGAAATGTCAAAGAATAAAAACAAGTTTAAACATCGTATTTACATTTTGTTTTTAACTTTAAAATGGTGTGAAATGCAGGTGGAAGAGCTATTAAAAAAAAAACTAATTTAGTGCATTAATTATTTTTTAATATAATAATTGAACATTTACATTCATATTTAGAATATAACATTTAAATTTTAAAAAAGAGAAGTGCAAAAGTGAAATACAATATATGCATAGTGTATCAAGTAGAAATAATTATATTACAGTAATACAAGTTCATAAGATATTTTATCAAACATTGAATTCAAAATTTGTAATGAAAATATCAATTTAAATTGTAAAAAGTGACATTTTTCATATTCGACAGAATTCAATCATATTAAATTCTACTTGAACACACAAGGTATGACATTTATAAAATATGCACAAAGGTTGTTCGATTTTCTCGTCTCTTCCTTTGCATTTTAACAACAACGGAATGGAAATTAGAACGGAAAAAAGGAAGATAATTTATAATTCTTTCTTTCCATTTAAAAAAAAAAATATTANAATAATAATAGTAATAATAATTGTAAATAAAATTATGAATATATATTTAAATATTTTTAATATATCACAGTTTTCATTTTTCATTTGTACAATATTGAATGTGTCAATTTATAAATCATAAAATTGAAAGTTTCCATTTGAAAGCTTTTTTTGGCTTACGAGACATTATGTGAGCAGCCGTTTTTATATAACAATCATCCTTTTTCTTACAAGAAATTGATTTTGATCAATACAAAATATTGGGATAATTTTAATTCCAACAAGAAAGGAATCTTATCAAAGTTTATATTTTCTGATTATATATTTAAAATTTTGTTTTTAATAAACTCGTTTTATTAAAAATATTTCAAATTTCATAATGGTCCACAGTTTAAGATCAAGAGTAGTGAATGTAATGGATTGGATGCTCAAACTGATAAACAGAAAGCAATTGAACTATGTAACTTATCGTATTTATTTATTAATGTTCTATTCTAATGTTTTAAAGCGTTGATAATGAGAGCCATCTCTTCTATTTTTAGAATATTTCAATCACTAAATAACGTAAAAAAATTTATATAAATTTAAATTCAGCTTATATTAATTTTGATTTCCGTTAGTTTTATATTTTGTTACGTTCTTAAATTAAAATGAATATATCTAGAATAGTTCAGAAAAAAAAAAACAGAATAAGTCGGAAAAGTAGATGATACGAAGTTCATTTTTCTAACTAGCACAAATTTACTTCCTCCTTTAAACACAGTTTTAGACTCCATAGTCCTTCAATCCATTATTTTTTTAAATTAAACGTGTATAGTACTGTATATTTTAGCATAATACCCAAAAAGTTTTGCCATCCTAATTAAATGATGATAAACAAAAAAAAAAAATTTATCTCAGTTGATTGTTTTAGTATTTATATACATTATTGTTCCCACAGTACATTTGAAAATATACAGGGTTGTTCCAAACAATGGGAACAAACTTCCGGAGTGGATTCCTAGCAGGACAAAGAACAAAAGTGATCTGATTAACATATATCTGAATATGTACTGATATCATGAACTGCACACAAAGGACGTAATGCTGCACAGTAGTGTTATAAACATATCTCATGGAATATTATCAAAGTTTATACTTTCTGATTGCAAGTGGTCACATCACGAATCACCTCATGGTATACCATAAGATGATGCATGACCTCCTGACAATTCTAATACCGCAAAACAGTGGTGCACTCAAGATTTAATCTTGGAAGGATCTGAGTTGACCAGATAAAAAACTTTTTAATGTGAATTAAATAAAATTCCCACCTTAAGTAACCGCTAATTCATAAGTAATATAGAAATAGAACACAATATAAATAAAAAAATGAATTTTAATTAGGAAAATATTTCTGGAAAATTTACTAGTATTTCTTTTCCTTTTACTTTAGGGATGTCAGTGTCCCTTGGTCCATCCCCTGGATGCACCACTGCCTCAATGATTACATTGGGAAATGATGTATAACACGTCATTTTCCAATGTAATAATTCAAGGGCAAGCATTTTTATTTCTTCAACTCCTTAATCAAAATCAAACTGGTTAAAAATTTAAATATTGAGACAATACTTAAAGTATCTTTCCTGTGTATTTGTAATACAATTTTATTCATTTATAACAGATTATTTTTAATCAAATACTACAGTATTAGTATTTGCTTACATTCTATTTCATATATTAATAAATAAAGCTTTTCTTTCAGATAAAAATTAGCAAAATTTTTGATGTTTACTTTACTTATTTATTTTATAAATACACTGAGAAACAAATTATTAAAATAACCTGAGAAATGCACATCATTTTAATGGTGCGCCTAGAGTAACTATTAAGTTTAATAGTTACTCTAGGCGCACCATTAAAATGGATTAAACAGATTATGTGCAACGTTAAAATACATTTTTCAAAATTACCTATTTACGATTGAATACATGTTATTGAATCTTGTGAGCTTTTTAATGAAAATTTAATCACATAAAAAGAAAATATTAGTTTATATTTTATTTTTATGTGGCTAAATTTTCATAACAACATTAAATGCATTAAATTGTTTAGATATATTTAATATTCTGAAATAAAATAACTATGCCATATTAATTTAATTCTCAAATCTCAAAATCTAAGTATCTTTATGGTACCATTCTTTCAATACAAAATAAAATTATTCATGTTTAAACTGTATAGATTAAAGTTTTTATCTGTCTTTATTCAGTATTCATCTTAAACATTAAACCAAGGACCATTTTGAAATGATATTTATATTTTTAATTTTACATTTTAGTCTATTATCAGAAGATATATACTTCTAAAAAATTTTTTTTTTTACATTTGGAAGATTCTGTGAGATGGAAGGAAGGAAGATTTAGTATAAAGCAAATCCATTTATGCAATTAAAACTAAAAAATACAAACTAATTGTCTTAGCAAATAAAAGTAAATATTCAAGATTATTTAAAATAGCACACAGAATGTAAAATGTCTAATACTAATAAAAAAAAACTAAACAAATGGTTATTAAATCCAAGATATGTTCAATAGAAAACCAAGAAAGTGCCATTAAAAGTTGCGAGGATGAGCAATAGCATAGTAATTTTGACAACCAAAACTTCCACGTCAGAGGCGACAATGATTGCAACTGGCAACATGTCGATGCACAAGATAAAATAACTGATAAAATAGTGACACTGCTCCAACAGTGCACAAAGCAAGAACAGTGTAGTGTTGTCCAGTTTTTGACAAAAATGAACATCTATTGGCACATGCAGATACAGTAAGCAATGCCAAGGATTGCAGTGAATGTCATGGAGAATCTTCCACAAAACTGCAGCCGTTTTTGGAACCTTAGAACTTCACTCATACACCCAGTGACAAACTTGGGATTTAATCATGGGAAAGCTGAGTTCAACAAAAAAAAAAAAAAACAAGTTTTGAAGTGAAACCAATAAAATTTTCATCTTATGTGACTGCTAATTCATTAGTAGTATAGAAATAGATGATGCAACAAATATAAATAAATTTTAATTAGAAAAAACTTTTTGGAAAATTTTCTAATTATTTTTTCCTTTTTCTTTTGTGGTGCTAGTTCCTTTGTTTCCTTACTGTACCTGCATGTGCCAATGGATGTCAATTGGTTTTTGTCAAAAATCAGACAGGATTACACTGCTGGAGAGGTGCTGCCATTTTATCGATCTGTTGCCAGTTGCAGTTACTGTTGCCTCTGACTTTGAAGTTTCATGTGTCAGAATTACTATGCTATTGCTCATTCTCCCAACTTTTAAAGGCATTTTTCCAGTTTTCTATTGAATGTGCCTTGTATTTTCGAACTGTAGATTACTACTTTTAAATAAGCTCATGATTTATACAACTATTTTTGTATTCTTTATGTCAAACTACAATCTGAGTATTTATAATGCTTACCAATTAAATGTAATCTATTATTATATATAATCTAACTCCTATTGCCCTGAAAACTTTTTATCATTTAAAACTGTTAATCTTACCAGGAACTGTCCATTAATTATGTATACAGTTTAAAGGGGGAGGAGAATCACAAAAAGTGCATCATTGTACACAATGCAAGGGAGAGAGAGTCAAGACATTGTCTACATAGACTTTTTTTAGTGATATTTTAGTGACATACAAATTTATTCATATAAGCCTATTGACTAGTCATGTGAATAAACTATCAGTCAGAAAATATTTGCTGAACTAAATCATTCCTTCAACATTGGGGATTCATGAACTATTGTATATGTAACTAAAGGGGAAGGGGTTTTCCAAAAGTACATCATTGTACACAATAGGGAGAGAAGAAGTCAGAAATGACTCAAAAAATGTACACACAATTAATGAACAGCACGTTAAGATTAAATTTAAACATTTTTTCGGTAAATTTATTGTAAAAAAAATTTACCAATTCTGGAAATATGTTAACAGCATTTAGAAAAAAATAAAAATAAATATAACTACAGTCGACCCCCCTATAACACTGTTATTTTTTCCATTTTATATGAATTCCATGTTGTACGAGTCACTTAGATTTTACAAATACGTGTGCCGGACTGTGAAGGGTTCATGTATTTGTAAAATCTAAGTGACTCATACAACATGGAATTCATATAAAATGGAAAAATCAACAGTGTTATAGGGGGGGTCGACTGTATTATAACAATAACATAAACATTCTACATATGATAATTAAAGAAAAAATGTTAAATCTCTTACTCATGTTCTAAATTATCTTTCCTTAATTTTAACATATATAGTGAGTATTGTATATTTTAATTTTAAAACAATAAAAAGTTCTAATAATTTATGAATCGAACAAACAATATGTATAACATACAGCCATAACATTAATGTTATTCATAAACAACAAACAAGATAAAAATACATATATAAAAATTTCGTAAATCACATATACCACACATATATATAAGAAATAAAACTACATGTACCATATAAAATACATCTATTACAAGTGCCATAATTCAAAATTATTTGTTTTAAATTAAATAAAATTATTCTATAAATTGATCAAATGTCTCTTTCAACTTAATTATAATCTTTGATTTAATATTTGTTATTTTAAATAATGAAACTTCAAATATTATGTTATATAACAAGTAAATACATTCAACATTTTTTCAATTTTGAATCCATCTATATAATATATCTAGAGTACAATTTTTTATATATATATATATATACACAGTACAAATTTATAATTTTGTTCTATTAAAGCTTGCTGAGTAAAAAAAGTGTTTAAGGCAAAAGGGCAATTAGTTAATTTGACAGTGTCGACTTCTCATTTCAGTATAAAATGGAAATTCTAGTTGAAAAAGTTTACATGGTAAGATAAAAGTATTTCTCTTTAAATGAAGTATAATTTAAAACATAAAATGGAAAATATTTCTGTGTTTGAAATAAATATTTGATAATTAAATAGAATTTTATAAAATTTGTACTGTTAAAGTAAACAAAAAAAAAAAAAAGACTAATTTTAAATGAAAAATTAGAAATAAATACAACTAAAATAATTTTAAAACTTTTTAGTTGTACCATGATTCAATGAGACATTTCTCTTTTTGTAACATTATGGACGTAATTCATTTGAAAGCACAAATTACTTTATGGTAGTTTCTTCTTTCCATCCATTCCCTTTCCTGTAATTCTATGGTAATTACTGTAAGGAACATAAGTTCCTGAATGATTGTTATAAATGAGATTGTTTACATGCAAACCATTACAGCATACATTTGGGTGATGAGGAGATCTAGAAAAAAAAAAAAGATAATCACTCATTTTATGTAACAAAAAAATATTTTTATAAAAAAAACAGGAAATTACAAAAAAAATTTTATGGTATTCCTCACTGAGAAAATTACTGTAATATTTATTCTATATTATAGAAAAACTCTAACTACTGCATTTTCACATGTATAATCTGCAGAAAATTACTAGAACAAAAATAAAATCTTTACATAATCCTTCTTACTGTATACCAACAGGAGCAGCCATTGCTCCATACACTTCAGTTCATAATTGCAATAAATTAGTAACATACAGATATCCAGATTATATGAAGAACCATTTAAAGAAAGAAAAAAAGAATATTGTTTCTATTTGGATCTTGATTTTCATTTGATAAAGTGCTCCATTAAAGAATTGAGCTGTACCCTAGTGACTAGTACATCACCTTCATTAGAAGTATAGTTACTTAAATGCTTTCATTGATTATTTGATATCTCATAAACATTTTTTTGGTTTCTTAGGAGAGATTATCATCCCCTTGAAATTAATCTTGACTGATTAAACGAAATAATATTTGCATGAAAAAGGACCAAAAAAATCCTTAGATAACAACAACTTAATCATTTCAATGTAATACAGTCAAATCCCTTTACAGCAATATTTACCAGAACAAGAAAAAATATTGTTGTAGACAGATTTATTGTTATAGGGACTATATAAGTTTTTAAAAAGTCTCCCCTTTCTCATTTAACATTGTCAACATTATTTCTATAAAGTCAGATAACGTTAGAACAGAAAACCTTAGTATTATTTAACCCCTTTAGAAGATTTAAGTGATTTTGCATATTATTTCTACAGTATAACTTAAACATCAAAATCCAAAATCAATCAGAACTTGAATCCTAGGCAAAAAAATCTTCCTAGTTTAAATAAGTAAAACTAAAAATAATTATATTTTAGAATTTCTTGAATAATAGTGCTTTTTGTAATTAATATAATAAACTCATTTAAAATTCAATAAAGCTCTCTTCAAAAGTGTAGAGATGTCTTAGTGTTGCAAATTACACTAATTCTAAAACAAAAAGAGGTTTTGTTACAAATACTTTTACTTAGTACGATCGGTTTCTGCTTAATTTCAAGATTTTACTGTAACTTACAGGTTTACTATAATTTATAATTTCTTGAAAAAACTGGAAAGGATAGAATCAAACCCAAAAAAGTACAAAATAGTTTAGAAAAAGTTAAAACTTATTTCCTTAAAAGTTATCAAAAAATTATGCTCAAAAGCTTATTTCAGCCTAACAAAGAAAAAAATGTTAATTAATTGTAAGCACTGAACAAAAACTTTAGATGCTAAACTATCAAAAAAACCCCCATGTAAATCTATCAACCCTGCTCATCAATACTGATGACTACTAACTGCAGATAATGTCCACGGCAGAATTGCTGTATTAATATAGCACATTTTAATTCTAAAATCAAGTGGTAAATCAATAATGCAGTAAATTTAATTTTAATTTTATAGTTGTAGAAAAAGGAAAATACTGTGTACTTTACAGATACAGTATAGAAAAAAATGTATTGCTAGACATAGATTTATCACATTAGAAGGATATTGTTCAAATCAGAGAAAGTTTCATGTTAAGCTAATACACACTGCAGAGCAAACTACATTCATTATGGAGATATTCATTGTTATATCAATACTTGCTGCACCAAAATTCAACTGTTTAATTTTATTACTATATAAAGGTTTTATATGTTAAAAAAAATAATAATAATAAGCAAAACTTAAAAATCATAAGTTAGGTGGGGAAAAGTAAAATTCAATCTTTTGTTAAAAGTTCAATCTCCTTAAAATTTACATAAAGTTAAATAACAAATTTACTTAGAAAACACACACTGTTAACTTACTCAAACAACACCCAAACCATATAATAGCATAAACAGAATCCTCCAATCACAATTATTCCAATAATTATACAGAAAAGTATTGGAACATGGCGTACCTAAAGACAAAAGAAATATCAATCAACAAATTATTTTAAAATATTTTTAAATCAAAGTATAATGTAAAATGTTTTATATTTTAACAAATTTAAAGATTTTTAAATTAACAGACCATAAAATTTAATTTTGAAATTAAAAAAAAAAAAGCACTATAATAAAAGAAATTATTAAAATTGCTTAAAAACTTGCTGAGAAAATTTTTTTATTTGTTTACTAATTCTAGAATTTTTTAAGACTATAGAACACTACATAAATCATGATAATTTAAAATATAAATTGATACTGATTAAATGTGTGTACCATAACTTAATACTTTACACTACACTAAAATATAATTTATTTCAAGAAATATATCTTACGTCTTCTTGAAAATCTTCCCAATAAAGTTCACAAGTCAGGTAGGAACATATAGCATTTGTTAAGTCATCTGAAATGTATTAATTTTTATTAAATAAAAAATATTATTGTGAAAATATTATGGTTTTCATTACGCACATTTTGTACATCTTAAATTTGCATATTAGCCGTTAACATTATCATTACTAGAGAGTATTAGTTATAATATTAACACAAAACTTGTTTATTTAACTTTCTTAACCGACTGTACTTCATTTAATCATTAATTTTATTTTATTATTTAGATGATAAAATTTTGATTTAAATAACATTCTAAACTTTTTAAAATTAATATATTTTAAAATATAGATTAAGGAATATTAACATATATTTCAAAATACAAAATCTGTGAAAATTTAAATGTTATGTAATAATTTAATTAAAATTCCAGATTTAAATAAATTTTCTTAATATCAATTTAATTTTGTAAAATGTACTATTATATGAAACAAATATAAATTAATGTACAAAATATAAATATGAATAAATATAATAATATAAAATAAATATTTTACCTTCAATATCTTGGAAATCTTTCAGAGAAAGAGTTGTTAACAAACCAATAATGCACTGTCGGATTATGCCCTATAATTATAAAAGTGTTAATCCTCAAATACATTTTACATAAAACATATGAAATTTTAAAAAATTTCCAATGATTTCATATTATTGAGATGCTAATAATTATTCTTAATATTTGTCTATACAGTATATAAAAGTCAAATACTATACATATTTATATACCTATTAAAATAGAGAGAAAAGCTTTGTCTATTTTCTGATACTAATGGCAACAAAACAATAACAACAACAATAGTAAAACATTTAAAAGCCTAATATTGTTCTTATTGAGTGACATTTACAGAGCCAAATAATAAGATATTCTATAGAATTTGAATATTCAATTTCAAATTTTCATTACACTATCTTCCAGTTAATATGAAAAATTAAGACTAAAACCAAAAAATTTTTTATGATGAGTTAAACAAGCACAAGCTTAAGAAAAATTTTTTCTTAATCTCAATTTTTAATGTCTCCATTTCTCTTTGAACTGTTTTGCTATATAATAAATATACATACATACATACATACTGGAGAGAAACTGTTGTAAACAGAGAAACATAAAATGGTTGTCCAAGTGGTAAGGTTCCAAATGGCCCAAGCACCATGGATATATATATATATCATGGATATTTTATTTAATATATACAATTAAATAAAATTTTTTCAAATATCACATTCATATTCACATTCTGTTTTCTATAAGTTGCAAAGTACATCATTTGATAATAAAGTATTACTGTATAAATTACTAGATTAATAATTTTATTGCATCATAAGTGCTTTAAAGTTACAAAAAAAAAATTACAGTTTAGAAGCACAAACATAATATCCTTAATATTTCATCATTTGTCTATTTTGTAAACTAGATATTCAAGCTATTTAAAATTTAACAATCTCAGCAGGGGAAAAAAGCTGCATATGAATTACTTATGAATTTAGTTTACTTTCTTAAAACATACTGTATTGACATTTTAAAATATATTGTATGAAGGCAAAGTTTTGAAAGTGAAAAATATTAAAAATAGAAATTGTCAGAATTATATAAAATCTAAATTAAAATTTGCTTCTTTACCTTACATTTGTTCTGTAAATTTTGAAGTTTTTGTTCATCACAGGATTCTGATGACTGGAAGGATTTGTTTTCTTTTTTCAATTTATTTTCCATATTTTCATCTATACTATGGCCTAATAACTTTTTATTTCTGTTGTACAAGACGCTCAGTACATCACATCGCATAATGTCACAGAAATTTGCAAGGCACACAGCATCTTCTGCCTTTAAAACAAATACTCTGAATTATTAAATTTAATTAATAATATTAATTAAAAATTTTTAAATCTATAATCATATTTGCTATAAAAAAAAACTTCATTATTTCATTTAATTATATTTTTTAAAACTCAGAGTGAATACTGGTATGTAATGTTTTAATTCCAATAGCTTAAAAATTAAACTTAGTCTTGAACAAAATACTATAATTATGCTATTTACACACAAAATTAACAGCTACATGCAGACTTATGTATAACAATTCTTACTGGACTTGTTGATCTCCCATGTGTTTTGTCCCAATGACCTGCAAAAAGTTGTTCACAATGAAATTTCTGACCACATGCAGGACATGTCCATTCTTCCATTTCACTAGAATCTCTTTGGGGCCACCAAAATATATCACGTTGGGGATGGAAAGGGCATTCTAATGGCAGAGTAACACGATATCTATCCAGAATGGGTAGAAATTTCTGAAAATATGTAATTTTTTGATGATAAATAACTTTTAAAAATTTTTAAATTACAATTTTAAAGTAGGAGTATTACAAACCTTCATAATTATATGTTGGACAAATTTTGATTTTTCCCAAGAACAAGAAAAAAGCGTAACAGAAGGTCCATTCCATCCCACATGGGACAGCAACAGCAAAATCACTACCTATATGCAGATATAACAAAACAAATCATTAAATATTAACTTTTACTAAATATTTAAATAATACTATTATTTACCATACTAATAAAATTACTAAAACCCAAACTCTTACTGAATTAGTAAGCTCCAATGGTTCCCAACCTGTTTGCTAATAATGGTTGAGGGGAACCTTAGTAATTTATTTTAACAAGTTTATTTTTATTACTAATATTTCAAAACATAAAAATAATAATACATAATAATTATTGACATATCATTAAATCTTATTGAAGTAAAACACAGTTTTGTATTTAGATTTATATTTAGTAGAAAAAGAAAGCCATTAATTCTTATTTCAGTTTTTATTTCATCCTATTTATAATTTATTCTTATTTTGTATCGGTATAGAAAGAGGTCGGTAAATTAAATATAATTTTGGAAAAGGGTCAACAAGCAAAAATGATTGGAATCTGTAGTACTGGCAGGATTTATTTCAGGAAGTGCATCAATGCACAATACATTAATTCAATAAAGTAATTGAAATTAATTACTGTCATATTAGTTACACAAAATTAATGAAAATTTACAAGGTGATAAGGATTGTCCAATAAAATAAAATTCTTATTATATTGTATTCTTTTTTCTTTCCACATTTTTGTTTGGGTTAGAAGATACACTTGCATCTCCTTGCAGTACCCTTGGTTAAAATCTGTGCTCTAGCACTTTTGGGTAATGAAACCCATCGGGAGAACTGCATGATAAAGGGCTTGGGTGCCCAAAAATGTGGGAGGAACAATACTTTATTGACGATTGTAAATTTAAATTAAGTGCAGTTTGGGTTTTATTATAAAAATCTGAGTTTATTCATTACACTTACTATTATTATTTGCTAAATATTAAATAATAAAAACAATTAACTCAAGCAAAATATACAGATATATAGTTTTTCATTATTTTCTACTCTTAACATAAAATTTTTAATTAAAAATTCTCACTAATAATATAAAATGTAAAGTTGAATACTATAAAATTGCTATAAATGGCTTTATTTTATGTGTCAAATAAGTTTAAGCAATCAAAAAAATTTTTTTATATATATTTGTATATTATATTCAATTAAATGATAATATTGTAGTATATTAATTACTACTATTATTACCATCTATTCATTTATATATTATAAATATCAATTGTTCTATAGATTTTATAAGACTAATAACTGAAAAATGTAGTGTATCAAAGATATTAAATAAATTAGAGTTAAGTTTCATTGTTTTTGGACTAAATTTTCAGATTAAATTAATTTTTTATTTTTTACAAATTTGTTCATAAATCAGTCAGTCAGTCATAAGAAAATAGAAATATAACCAGGAAATATTAAACTATTCTAAATCAATATCCAGTAACTATTCACTTACAATCATTTTTTAAAATTTATAATCAATCACTGAACAAAATTATGATGCCATCAATATTGGATTTCTGGGACTGCAGAACAGAAGAAACATTCAAGTAAGCCATCATTGGAACTATAATCATATTATATCATCATTTATAATATTGATATAAAGAGAAAAGAATGCAATACAATTTCTTATTGTATTATTGGTTTTCATGCAATTGGTTCTATAATATTGGCAAGTTTTTTAAGATTGTTACAGTAATGTTATGAAATTACAAACCAATTATTTCTATAATAAAAATATGAAAAATGTAAAGAACCACAGACAGTGCATAATAATAATTTCATTAAATAACAACATTCAAAGCCCAAATAGTATATCTACTAAACTGCTGAACGATTGCCTAATAATTTCATTACACAAAAATTAATCCAGTTGCTATTAAATGGAAGCAATATCCACTGGTAATCAATATAAAAAGCATAATTTAATATTTATTTATTAATTTTTGGTAATAAATATAATTAGTGACACCTGCAGATCAAAAAAGGGAGGGAGTCACAAACTATAAAAAAAAAGAGCATCATACATTATATAAGAAGCTTCAAACTGTAAGTCAATATCAGATCGGTACTCCCACTAGGTAGCACTGGTTGCAATTGGGACTAACTTGGCTTTGAAAACAAGGAACATTCCTTGTTTTCAATGTGAAGTGTTGGTCAACATACAACTAAGTTGAATGGGACAATGAAAAATATCGTTCATTAGTTTCTTTTATATTTGTGGAATAGGCTAGAAGTCATGAATTTTCTGTTGTTGATAATGGAATTTGTAGCACCCTTGGGATTAGGAAAAGGGACACATGCCCCAAATGCCACAATATATGGGCATCCCTGAATATGACCATCTAAAGATAATACCAGAGCTGTGGAGTCGATAAAAAAAACACTCAACTCTGATATGACTCCAACTCCTGATAATTTTAGTAGGCTGACTCCAACAAAATTAAATACCAAGTCATTTTATGAGGGCGGAAGTGCTCGTAGGGGGATACCCTACTCTGAACTCTGAAAGAAGCCCAAGGAGTTTACCCAAATACTTTTATAGTTAGTATTTTTAATATTTAACTTAAATTAATATTTATTTGTATAAAAAAAAATTAATTTTTAACAAATATTTAATAAGAGGAGAAAGGGGGCGATAAAATTCTACATCTACATACATTCGACAGAATTTGCACTTCAATTTCACCCTTCCAGAAGAGTTAATCCAACTAAAAAGTGTGATCTAGCTAGCTACATCAGTCCTCGTTCAGAAAAAAAATATGTACTCTGATCAATTAGTCTGGCTCATTCAGAAAAATAGAGTACTTATTTAGAGCAGAGATAATAAAGGAATGATTCAAAAATATTCAAATTCAATTGGGCCAAACTAATTTAACTACTAAATACAAATACTACATATCTAATAAATTAAATTGATGCATTTTGTATTTAAAATAAATGAATTCTAACAAAATACAAAAAGATTTTTAAAAATTTAAATATATAATAAATTTTCTTTTATTTAATTAAAAATAAATAAAGTAAATTTAAAATGCGGGAGTCGGAGTCGACGTTTTTTTCGACTCCAATTCCTCTGGCCAGAAATTCCCCCCAATTCCGACTCCAACTCCACAGCCCTGGATAATACTATTATATACCTATTTATTTTATTATAATAAGCCCTAATAATAATCATTAATATGAAAAGTATAATCAAATGAGATTAGTATTCTATATAACTATCATTTCATAAACTAAAGTTATCTATTTAAACCTTAGCAAATATTTTTGATTATATTTAAGATGACTTTAAATTAATTTTAGAGAACTTCAATAAATAATTTTAAGCATTAAGATTCTCAATGAAGAAATAATTGTATAATATATGTAAATTTAAATGTAGTTCTTCAAATCTAATTATCTAACAATATAATTTTACAGCCTGACTTAATTAAACTAATCACAGATCAATTTTGGAAATGGATATTATCATTAAATTAAATTTCTTTATTCACAATATTCGTTTTGAGCAGTTATTCTATATCTTTTCAGTTGTGCAGGTGTGTGCTGCTTAATTACAGATTCCATAAGAATTATAATGGAGCTGAAAAATTCAAAGCCATCTGTATCTTTTTTACATTTAGATATATAAATACTTATCACTGTGTTACAATTGTGTTAAATATAGTCTATATTAGTAGTAGGTTACACTGTATAAAATTTATCTAACTACCCTTTGATGTTTGCTTAATGTATTTCTCAGAACATATCCCCATTGT